GGCCAACCGTTTCGTCAGCTTTTTCATGCGGCCTCCCCATGTTGTAGGCTGCCCACCAGACCGTCTCTTCCAGCCCTGTCCAGCAAGTGCAAACAACGCACGATGCGGGTAACCTAGTACAGACATGCGCAATACGTGTCCCAACCACCGCAGTTGATGCAGTGAGATGAGCTCCTCGAGCGAGTGGCTTCCATGTTCCAAGACACGCTGTCTAACTTCCACATTGCTTACGTGGTGCTGCCACCACAAACGGGCAATGGACCGCAGACAGCGGTGCTCGAAGACGGATAGTCCGCGAAAGTCATCTTTACGAATGGGCCAGGTCTCGCATCCGTACAACAGTACAGCACGGACAGTTGCACAATAGACCCGCCCTTTGACGGAGAGACGAATGTCGTGGCGACGCCACAAATGCCTCAGCCTAGAAAAAGCGAGGCGTGCTCTCGAGATGCGCATCGAAATCTCGTCTCCAACAACCCCGCCAGCAGTGATGCAACTTCCCAAGTAGACAAAGCTCTCCACAACCTCTAGTGTCTCACCAGCAAGAGTGAGTGCAGGCAGAGGCACCTGCCAGTCTTGGAAGAGAGCCTTGCATTCGGATGGCGAAAAGCACATACCATACTTTGATGCTTCAATCGCCAAGCGATTTAATGCAAGTTGGACGACGTGTGGATCGTTACCAAACAAGACGATATCATCAGCATAATCCAAATCAACAACTCGACTACCTGGGAGGAGCTCAACGCCAGCGTTCAACGAATCGCCTAGAGCGTTCTTCAAGACATCCTCAATGGCAAAGTTGAATAGGAGATGAGAGGAGTTGAATAGGAGATAGGGCATCCTTGTCGAACTCCAATGGAGACCATAAAGGTAGGCGAAAGCTTGCCATAAGCCCTAACCCTGCCCGAGGTCAGACTATAGAGAGAGCGCAGTATGGAGACGAACTTCTCGGAGACATCATTCCTCAGTAGGCAGTGCCACAGTACTGTACGATCGACAGAATCGAAGGCTGCACGGATATCAAGGAATACAGCAATCGTTGGTCTCTGATACACATGGCGGAGCTCGAGGATCTGGCGAAGTGTGAAGATTTGATCGATGCAGACGAGACCAGGGCGAAATCCAGCTTGTTCTTCTCGTTGCAACGATTCGCGTGTTGGGGATAGTCTGCGAAGTATGATGGGCACCAGCAGCTTGCAAACGACTTGGACTAAACTTATTCCTCTGTAGTTGAAACAGATTGTGCGCAGGCCTTTTTGAAGATAGGGACTACTATCGATTCACCCCAAGATGACGGAACTTTCTCTTTCGACCAAATTTTCGAGAACAAAGCGGTGAGTTCTCGAACCAGCGATGCGCCACCATGTTTAAATAGAGCCTGAGGAAGATCATCAGGGCCGGGTGCTTTATAACGCTTCATGTGCCGGAACTCCTGCTCGATTTCTTGGGAAGAGGGAGGGTCTGTGGGGGCAGACCACTGGGCCCCAGCACGAGCGCCAGAGGTAGTAGATGGAGCTGGGGGCCAACAAAACTGCGAGCCAAAATGTTCAGGGAAACGGTCCATAACGTACACATCAACAGGGATTTGCGTGACCATGGTGGGACTGCTCCAACTGTAAGTTCGACAAGGAAACAACAGGCAAATTGGGACAGGAACAGTTGGTTTGCATGCATAGGTGAGGCGTTCAAACAGAGAGTATAATATCAACAGGTGGTACTAGGGGAATTAGGGTAATAATAATGGGCCAGGTAAAGAGTGATTGCGATCGGACAAATGTACGTGACAGTATTTACCTGAGCTCGTTGTTGATGAGCACACGAGGAAGCGTTTCAAACGACGGTCGGATCCTTACCTGTTGAGTATGCCGGGATCTTGCTGCCTTTAGTGCAGCACACCGTTTCGCAGTGGTTCGAGGCATCCTCGCATTGATCGAGAAGTGAGGGAGCTGACAAAGGATATTTTTTCTGCTCTATATAATCCAATGAACGGTGACCACACACTGTACATCACCTACGACCTATCACAGTCGATCGATTAACATCCGTGTGCGCAGCCCAGGCATAGATAATGGCTTTTCCATGTGGCACGGTCGCCCAATAGCGGTTCACCGGGAGTCATCGCTAAGATTTACGTTCACAAGTAACATAGTCTATTGTGCTATCTACCAGTTCATCTCCAGTCGAACCGATGCATAACCGGCTGGTCAACCTGGACTAGCACAAGTTGTTGTAATGGCTTACCAACTAACCACATTCAAAGTAATTACGCGCAACGCAGGCAATGAACATTAGGCATTGGAGGAAGCTTCGTTAACCGAAGCCTGTTGTTCTATTTGGAGGATCGTTTTAACGCATCCATTGTGTAAGAATAGATTGTGACATACGAGCGCAATCTGAACCGTGATGCGCTTTGAACTGAACATCGTTCAAATCGGTCTCTGAGACCGCACTTGAAGCGGATAACGAGCACGTCAAGATAACTTCCTAATTGGTGCTTAACCGTTGTGCCCAGTACCGCCTGTGAATCAGTGGTCCAGTAGTAGGCGCTTCTGCTCACAGCCTCCAAGCTACCGAGGTTGAGTTGCAGTCCTACTTTCTTTGCTGGACAAGTACACATAAGTACAAATCCGGTCGCAGAATGCAGTGTAGCTGACAAAAGTCACTATTCCATTTGCTGCGGTGTCCAGTGAATTGAACAGTTTGTTTGCAAACGTTTCGTCACCAGTTGAGGTGACAGCATCAGTGCATGGGAGTAAGCGGTTTAGTAGCAAAAGCTGGTGGAAGGTGAGTCCCACCATAAATGTCGCTAACCACTTCTCCATTGCTAATATAGGCTATTGCAGCCATCAAATTTGGCTTACTCTGATTAGCTACCCATTGTGCTTCACACAGTTGCTTGGACAACTGTCATAGGCTGCAAAAAGGTTGCTGCGACGTGGGTGGGATACTGCTCTTTCTATTGGCACCGAAGGTGTAGAAACAGCATTGTGGTCCACATCGAGTGTCCTGCTCATTGTCCGGGTAGCAAATTATTTACTTTGAGCTGTGATTTTTAATTCATTTGAAGTCTTTGTTTCAATGGTTGGTGTACAGTGGGCCGTCATGACTTATAAGTCGAATGCTTGGCGCTGTACTTATCATCAGGTGTTTGGAAACAAGCCACCTGGTGACATTTTGGAGTGCCGGTCGACATATTAGATAGACTAGGTGAGACAGTCAACTAGACCTTTCTGGCAGACGAGGCACCAGCTAGTGCATGGGAATATTTCGTCAGCCAGTTTAACTCTGGTTGCCGAAACGTCAGCGATTAAGACCTTCCGCCCAAAAAACGTGGTCCCATTGGTGCGAAGCAGGACACGCAAGTGTGAAGCGGTACGAAACTCTCCCCGAGCACCGAGAACTGGACGGCCTATGCAACCATGGCTGAGGAGGGAGCTCACCGCCTTGGAGATACACCAACGTCGGGCAACCGAGAATGCCAAGGATCTGTATAAGCTGCCGTAGGAACGTAGGCTACAAGTGCTCGGAGTCTTCAGCGGACAGTATCGGCGATTGCGCCGGGACCTCATTTTGACGTACCAAATTTTGTGTGACCCCAACCACATGTGTCGCTACTTGGTAGAACTCAGTCATAACAGCAATTTGAGAGGCCACCATTTCAAACTGGCAGAGCAGCACAGTCGCTTGGAATGCCGTCTGAATTTCTTTTCCCTATGCGTTCGCAGGACGTGAAATGCCCTACTGAGTCTGTCAAATGTGTTCCCACGCTGAGAGAATTCAAACCCCGAGTTGACCGGGCACTTATTTCGCTGCACCATCTTAAATTATCCATGGATAAACCTAAGTATCTGTAAGAGATTTCACTGGCGTTCAAATCCCAGATTTCGTCCCACATTTTTCACCTCATGCATGTGTATACCAGGAGGAGACACGAGCTTTACCAACATCCAATTTGCCGTCGTTTCTCATGGATTTACCTTGTATGTACAGCATATACTATGTACACCAGTGTGAACCTAATTTTGCAAACATTTTGAAGTTTCACCATAACCATCCTACGGGAACTGTCAAGCATTAGATTTATTTTACCCGTATAAAACCATGGTTGCATTATTGTTCCTTGTTGAGGACTCCGATAGCAGCCACAACATCAGTGGCTACATATGCTATAGAGCAGCATGGCACAATTAGGAAGTCAGTGGTGCACTCGAATTCGTTCCCTTATCAAGGGGTACTCCTCACTAAATGTTAGTAGTAATACTGTTTTAAGTCTGTGTGACAAGTTAGATTAACAAACACCGCATCTAAGGACACGGATGTTAACTGCGCAGGCGAGATAAAATGATGAGGCTTAAGATATCAGTGACGAATGCAAGAAGCATTGCTCTGGTCCTGTCGGCACACGACGACAACAAAGCACATCTGTTTCGTTGGTCTGACTCTCCTTGTGCGATGCAGCAGCGGACATTTAAGGACTACGTTTGACGGCGGATAGTTGGAGGAACTAAAAAAGCAGTCCTAAATTCACATTGCTCCCATTTCATCTTAAATGTAGGTCATCAATGTAAAGGGGCATTTTTCAAGTGTTGAGTCAAAGTAAACGACTACTGATTTCGAAAAAAGTAGTAGGGTCGTGTCGGCAGCTTAATAGTGTTGCGAATGACTTGTAAAAATCTCCTATAGAAAGCATAAAATACCCTGATCATTAATTAAAGAGTAGGCAGGTCATGATTTAGTAAAAATAAAGTTTCACACTCGCATCATGCGTGCCTCCTGACGGACAAAGATTTACGACTCATATACCATCTCAACGACGCACAGGGCTATGGCTACGGGAAAAATGTGATCCTATGTGTACAGCGATTATTCACCTAGGCACATAAAGTGTTTGTTACGGTTGTGTATGCGACAGATGGATTCCAGAGTGCCTGAAACCCTATGCTGTGACACGGACGAGCGTGGGTGGCTTGTGACCAGTCGTTGGAATAACGCCAAGCAGAGAAATTCAGTATGGAATAATTTTATTGGCTCAACTCAACCGAAACACAGTCGGAAGGTTACGTGTGTGTGTGTACGTCCAAAAGCATAACACAGTACAACAGCGCGGGTAGTAACGGAAAACAGAAGTCAAACGAGACACACAAAAGAGGATGAGAAGAAGTGGCTCAGGAGAGGCCTCGCTATTCTTTCGTGCACACACACACACAACATAAAAACAAGGAGAAAATAGGAGGAAGGATGAAGCTGCGAGGTGCAAAAACCAGCGACAATGTGTGTGGAACACAATAAACACTAGCTTGGAGAGGAGGAAACAGCAGAACCAACGCGAAGACCGCGTAGGTTGCAAGCACAAAGGCACATACGTTCACTTAAGTGTGAAGAAACGACTGTCAAGTTTGTGATCACCGCCCATCAATGAGTGTGAAATAGAAAAATCAACTTGCAAAGGGTGTGAGAGAGAGAGAGAGGACAGAGCGTGACGAGGTTAAATACAATGCCTAGACACGGAAACGGTCAAAGATGAAAGAGAAGCATGCGTTGCACGAAAAGAAACTCCAGAAGACAACAGATCACAGTGAATGAGACCGAATTATGCTAACCGCTAACAACGGACATCAGATGTGTGTGTGTGGCAAGATGCCCCAGCTGTTCTGACAATGCGGTAATCCGCTCTCCTCGAAATCATAGTCCACACCGGTGGCGATTATGCAAGCGATCTCTTTGGCTAACAGGCGTAAAGTGAGGGGAGAGGTTGGTGAAAAGATTTGCATCTACAGATAGGATGCAAGTGACCTCGGCACAGCAATGAGCACCTGTTGGAGTACCGTGAACGAAACAAGGGAATCGAATCCCGACCCGTGTCAAATGGGGGGATGAAAGGAAGCAGCGTCGCCCCCTTCACGAATCCCGTCGGAATCGGGTAGAGGACTGTTTGGAGAAGCGACATGATGCACAGCAAACGTGTGGCTTCGCCGACGCAAGCGAACTTGCCCGGAGGACACGAGGGCGTTGGCCTGGGAGGACAGACTACCGAATGGCACGGAGGTGGGGGAAGAGGTAGTGGCCACCCGACAGCCAACGTTGCGAAAAGCGGGTTCAATTGGGCTCGGAGACAACGCATGGAAACTCGCAGTCTGTAATTTTGCAAGCGAGATTGAAGAGAATGTGAATGGTTAAACAAAGCACCGAACAAAAATCAGGGAATTCGTTATAGGATATGTATGGACTGTTCACGACGCCTGTTAGACCGCAGACGATATGGTACATGATGCGCTCGTGAAACAAACTAAAGGGAGGTAATCCCTCAACACATTCAACAAAGCAATAATCGATGAGTCCAAAAAATGGGGCGAACAAAAGCAGCGCGATTGCCATGGTAACTGGAGGGGCATGTCAATGAAAGAATAATTAGGTTTCCAAGATTGAAGGAGCATAACCGAGTGTCTTGACGGCTGCTGGCTGAGCACAAATATGCTGCGGAACAATTCCTTATGTTCCACGACGCCAAAGTGTAGAAACGCGGAGCATTGGGAAAACGTGATATATTTCCATGAAGAAATAACAACGATGAGACTTGAGGAGAGACGATAAAAGCAGTAAACTAGATCAGGACATCACTGCGAAATAGGAAGTGGTCAAACAACAAGGACACCGGATTAATGAACCCATCAAAACTGAGCTCTACACCACGGAAGAGTTGTTGGTGAAAAACGGTAGGCAATTCGCGGTATTAATGTCGCAACAACCGAGTCGCCGCATCTGAAGCTAATATGGTAGCTGTGGTGAGGCCCCCGATAGGTGAACAGATCCAGCCGGATGAGTGATTCGACCAACAAAGGAAATCCTACGCACACAATAAGTCCAAGTGAGACAGTGTTAACTGGGAACATTAAATTTAAGACAACAGTTGTGTCTGGACAACACAGAGCACATGCAGCGGGAATGGAGAAACCGTAAAGCACGGCCAATATGCACATACCTGACCAAAAGCGGAACCGCTACAAGTGAGGGAGGTCGTCGTCGTGAAATGCGGATTCGGAGGTAGCCGTATTTGTGCGTAAGCTGGAGGGTAGGCGGAGCGTGAACTGGATACAATGTATGATGATTCATCGGCGACCTGCGGTGTAGTCCGTGGACTAGCGGCCTCAGGGAAGTGAAGAGCAGCGGGTCGATGATGGGCGGCGACGTCATATGGAGGAGCATGTGCGTTCACATCGACACTCGGATAACATCGTACAATCGAGCCCAAGGGAATAGTGTGGCTGGTGGACGGGGAAGTAGAGTACTGATGTGATTGAGGCTGGGCGTAATCGAATCGCGGCGAATGAAGCGAACATTTAGTGGGCGAGTGGTTTGGAACGCAGTGTGTCGACGTGGATGGTTGACCGACGTAAGTGGACATCGAGATTGTCGGGTTGGCGGGGGCACCTGAGTGGGCAGCCAACATCGCCCGGTGTTGCCTTTCGCTGAGCTGCCTTAGAAGTGGTTTCTCGATAGACCTGTTCAGACAAGCAGCAAGATAAGGAGTAGGCAAAAGGGATATTAGGGAATTCAATTCAGCGAAGGGATTTCTTTTAGACAGTTCCCATCAGGTTATTAGATGGGTATAAGTGGCTAAAGCATTCCAGTAAGTTTATAAAGTTAGGCTATGGTCGGTTGATTCCTAACTGGCTACAATGTTTAGCAAACCGAGTTTAAAGCCGACGACAATAGCCCCTCACAAACGAGTGCACGCGCAATTGTGCACACATTATACGAAAAGTGGAACAAAGTCCTTCATGCTCACTTCGATCGCGTATACTATCATTTAGCCTATGTTCATATCTGAAATCATAAGATTCGAAGCGGCTACGTCGGCTTGTAGGGTTCATCTGTGTAGGTGAGTGTCACAGCGTAGCAAACTTTGCTTGCGAAACGGGAATCGGTCTGTGTTATTTTTTTTCTTCATCGGCTGATAGGCCCCACTGTCATTTCGCTGCCCATTTCATGGTACCGACAGCAAATCAGCGTGTTATCGCGACACGTTGTCCCTAAGCGATCGGAAATGATTGTACACAGGCTGGGACTCTGTAAGAATGCTTGAATTTGTGCAATAATCAAAGCTGGAACCCGGAGTGCAGCGATTGCCATCCACCAAGACTCGAGTCACTTCGCCACTGATTCGGCGGGGACGAACATGTAGAGATGGATAGCTAGCAGATATGCGAAAAGTACGACCAAACTAGTGAAGGGGCATGTTCATATACTACACATGAACTGCCGGATTTCGTCACTAGACAGTCGCAATTTAACTAGAAGTTGTTTTTGAGTTCCGAACTTTCTTCTTGGTGGTTTCAACATTTGTTAAGCATGTCCACTGAAATGAAGATTTGCTCACGGAGCTGTGCAATGAGGTTGCAGACGTCTCGCTAATCTGGATTTGCCTGAAGCGCAGTTGCTGTTGGAAAACTATTCCCCACGATACACTGAAGATGCCACTTAAACTGGTGGCGAATCATCTTCAATCAAAGTGCAGAGCGCGGTGAGCAAATCAACATCACAATTGCCAACCCGTGTTATTGCAATCAAGTCCCTGATCATGACGACAACAAATGGCTTCATTGCTGATCTACCCAACCGTTTTAATACATGCGTATTCTCCTATGAGTGTACACGCAGGCCTTACCGACAGACATGTTGACCTCCGTTAGTCAGATCATAAGAGTTGTTAAAGGTATCCAGTGAATTCAAATTAGTATTCTTCGATAACGAGAACCGCAGGCGCCGCAGCAGAAAGAAATATGTCCCGGTATCTGGTCGGGTAGTTGATCAGTTTATGTTTCCCCTGCAATCAGATACCTACGCGCACCGCACACTACATGCTGGTCCGATCCGACATTAAGTATAGAGCCCATTTAATTCGTAGTTAAATACATCACCTGAAATTCATCTAACCGCAAAGCCTTTGTTCGAAGTTCTGTACACCGTGTTCTAAAAAGCTACGCAAAAGGACTTGGAAAACGCTTACTAATTTATTATGGTCGAAACCAGACCAATGCAACCTGAATTGTGCGAGCAGAAGTCGCTAGTACAGGCGCTTATTACGTCTTGACCGTGAAGCACCTACTTAATCTCGATCGTTGTCACCTCATTGGCCAAGAGAAATCTGTGTCTTTCATGCACTCGCTCTCACGTTCCTGGTGCATAGTGATCCCATCTGGCAATCTTAATGCTCACTTACCGAACCATCGGTAACATTATTATTAATTATTATTATTATTATTATTATTATTATTATTACTACTACTACTACTACTACTACTACTACTACTACTACTACTACTACTACTACTACTACTACTACTACTACTACTACTACTACTACTACTACTACTACTACTACTACTACTACTACTACTACTACTACTACTACTACTACTACTACTACTACTACTACTACTACTACTACTACTACTACTACTACTACTACTACTACTACTACTACTACTACTACTACTACTACTACTACTACTACTACTACTACTACTACTACTACTACTACTACTACTACTACTACTACTACTACTACTACTACTACTACTACTACTACTACTACTACTACTACTACTACTACTACTACTACTACTACTACTACTACTACTACTACTACTACTACTACTACTACTACTACTACTACTACCATTGCTATTATAAATTCGGTGTCAAGGCAATTGGATCCATCGCGGACCATAGCTAATAAAGTGAACGGACATCGGAGGCTGACAAGAACCCTCCCTATAGCTCCGCACAGTGGCTAGGCATTCCAGAACTGTGACATCAACTGACATCATAGTTAACGAACTCTTAGGATCCATGACAAATGTTCGTCATGGAAGTGGCTTCAAACGATTCACCGGTAGTTATCATTTCACTTGTGGAAAATAGCTGAAAGGAGAGACACCTAAGCTTGAGTGCATAGACCGGAGAGCGTGCGGTTGACCTTCCCATTGTAAACAGGTGGTTTTAGGCAATGAAGACGCAGGTGAGATAGCGTAGCTAAATTTATTAGGGTTGGGAGAAAACGGGAGTAACGAGATGCAGAGCATGCACACGGATTAAGCCGATCTGGGACGCTCGGTAGTACCATAAGAGCTCAGAGACATTAAAACCCCAGCGAGGAATGCAAAACATGAGCATCGAGTGGTCAGAAGACAGCAACCGAAGGGCTCGCTACGGATTGCTTCTCAGGTGACGCTAGCCATGCACTTTGCAATGAGCGATGATAAGGTAAATAGTTTCAAAGCCTAAATGGGGCAGGGTAGGGGGAAGAAAGGATCTGCAGGACAAACGAGCACAAACACACCCACCTTCGATGCGCGGAGTGGAGATGGGTCCCGGTCAGTGAAGTATTCGGAGCAAAGTGGTTGTTGATGGGTAGACCAAAACGCTGCGACATCATCAGGTTATAGGTCTGTGAAGCGGAACTCTTCGTGACGACCGGATGTGAAGTTGGCTGAAAGAATAGTGTTCTTGTTTGGTCAACAGCCAGAGTTGTTAACGAAGGCGGTTGACTAGTGGGCGAGGGTAAGGATGGTGCATCCGATCTTGCGTGGCCAATTAGTGAAACATCGTGACCGGCATGAATGGTCGAACTGGCTGGTAGATTTCGATGGCGGGTTTCGCGAATAGTCAGCCTGCGGTGAACAGTTCGTGAGGGTGGATTCGAGTAAACCATCGTAGACTTTGCGATCTGCAGCGGCGTGGACGGTTGTGTGGAACTTGTGCAGATATTCCGTACGTCGGTTACCAACTGAGGTGATCTGTTCGAACTGGAGGTGTTTCGATCCGAGGTAACAGTGGGTACAGTACTTGTTGTTGTTGAGGTGTGCGGAGTTGCTCGAGTTCGGGATATCAGTTTCCCAGCAGGACGCCAGGGACCATCAGAACGAATATGGCTTTGTTGAATGGGCAATATTTGCAGCCGTATTTCGGGTATATTCTGCAGACGGATGTACACAAACGAGAGAAACGTAGTTGCAAGGGAGATACATACAGCCAGGCAAGAAACCTACTCGATTTAAGATTGAGCTACAACGGTCCGCACTAATGTTACTGAAAATGACACCTATCTTCAGATGAGTTGGTGAGACCGACAGAGTAATGCCAAAGGCTCATTGTGATGGGAGTACCCAATCGGAATGCAACCAAGGAACGGGCAAGGTAGCCAACGGATGTTAGACCTGCCGGATTCCATCATTGGGTACAGCAGAAGTAATCGCCGATTCACATGACCCCGTTGATAGGCGAAGTTTGTCATTGCAACGATGAGTTCGCCGTTTGTTTAGCTGAAGCAGAGGAAGCTGAATGACCCCAAAAACGCCGGTGTTTATAGAAGTTCACGAGCAACATTTATCCAGACGTCCCATGGGTCAAACGGAGCGTAATTTCTACTTGGTTACCTTGCTGAATAAAGCGCGCTTGTCTTTGACAGACCGAATTTCGAGACATACGCGGTGTAACGGATTATCATATTGCTTAGAAAATTCCCCCGAAACGTACCCTCATTTGTCACTTGGACACTACTAAACCATGTTCTCAAAGCCCCCCGGCTATTTCGATCAACTCATGTTATCTCGACCCGTGTAATTCCATTACGTTATCAAGGCTTATTCAAAGGGATCCTGAATGATTGGGGTTTGTCCGCTTCCCTAACCGTATATTTTACAATAGTACAGTAGATATTCGGATTCAACTTGCTCTGATTTTGGGATTAACATTTGACCGGCGTCTCATACGGTGTAGAAGAATAACTTTAAAGCACGCCACGTCATTCTACTTAAAGGCACACTGATCAAAATACTCTACTACTGCAGTTGTCATATGGGCGTTCTGACGCAAGAGACTTAAGCTGAAGAAACTAGGGTAAGGCATAACAAGAGGTTTACAAATGAATCATCCAAATGTGACAGCCTAAAGGAGTTCAAGGTCAAAGGAACAAGGCCCGGTCAACTGAAATGCGATACATGATACTGGTAGCTTGGGTTTAGTGTTCAGTACTTGAGTGGTTAGCCGAGCTAGGCAACTGGATTGCAGACATTTCGTCACCAGTCTACAGGACATCATCAGTTCAGCAAATACTGGTAAAAGGCAAATCCGAAGATCCATCCATCCATCTCCGCGACTCGTACCATATTAGCTACCTATACATCATGCAAAAAGGATTATGCTGAGTGGTTATAGGTGTGAGGACTGGACTTGGATGGAGTTGGGAAACATTTGTTCGGCACTACTGGGTATCCTTAAAGGAGGAGGGTAGTTATCCGCAGCTAAAATGACAAGCAACTCACCTGAAGAAGTAACCGCACCAGCTGAGTGTGCAACATGCCGGGTGTGGGCACATTATTGATGCTGGTGATGAGGTAGCCTTCCTTTAACCCAGCGCGAAAAGCTGGCCCATCAGGATCAACGCTGTGAACTAGGTGGTGTAAAGTGTACCGATTTGAGGTCCCAAAGAAGACACGAATGGCCCGAATGGTAAACCCGTAGCCTGATTTGCCTCTGGGTATTACGACGGCTCCAGGTGATCGATCCCTACTATTTGGCACAAGGCACAAGTTACTGGAAGCGTCCGAGGAATTGGAAGCGGAACTTTTTGCTCTGGTTTCGAAATCCGTCCGAGAATGAAAACTTGGTTCGTGGCGAGTATCGCCAGTTGCCCAAGATTCCCATTGTGAGTGTTGAATCAAATAGCCAGAAGGGGATTTTACTGAAGCCGACACGAGTGGCACGAACGCCATTGTAGAGACGGCCGCGGACACATTGTGAACAGAAGGATCCATGTGGTTAGTACTAAAACTAGACATCGGCATAAACGGAGCGGTTAGAGGGGTTAGAGACAGCGAGGAGGAAGAGGAAGATGAGTCAGCTTCTGAGTTACTCGTTTGGATGGAAGATTGATCACTGGAGCCTGAGGCGTCTATCAGCTGGATCTTCGCAGGTGACTCTCGATCAATTTGAGATACACTGCACCAAGAATGCAATGGCCAAGGACAAGTTGCCTCAAGGTCACTCGAGGAACTAATAGAAGGACAAGGCTGAGAAGCGTGTTGACCCAATTCCACACCAGTAGTGGAACTCGACTTACTCAGCAATTTCTCGAACTCGTCAGAGATTGGGGTAGGTTGGTCGTGACGTTCATCTGGGATTCGTGGAGCAGAGACATGTTTTATGGGAGTCGCAGTGCTCTCCTCACCGAGAAGCGACTTCCTACTTCCAGAATCGAACTGATCCACAGGCCTCGTGACAGTCGGGACCTGTACGGGGGGGGGGGGAAGAGCGCAATAATGAGGAGCTGCGCAATACTGGCGAAAACAACAACCACACTATCGTATATACGCCATTTAAGACCAATAGTACATAGAAGCGAAAAGCTGAACACAAAACGGGACTATCAGAAGATGTAGGTTGTGGGATGACACTAATACTTCGTGCAGTCTCTTTGGCCACGTAGATGTAACATGAATAATTTCAAACAAGGTCAAATGAAATCGATTAGTTGTCAAATGTTTCCCGATTGGTGCCTTGACGCTACTACAGTGGGTGTAGTGTCACTGTCAGCTGTTTGCTTGAACACAGTGGTGGGTCAAAGGGAATGCGCGAAATGACAATATCTGAAATAAATGAGAATATTCGTAGCTCGGGGTGTGGATGCGGATTTTGAACTGTTCTTTGAGCTGAGTGATAATTGTGCAGCCTCTGGGGCCTGGTTCGCGGTGCCTCGTAAGCGACTTCAATGTCCAAGTGCTTATTGATCGGGTTCTGCTTTGAATGCCAGGCTTCAATGAACTCACGTACTTGCCGGTATTTAGCCCTTCCGAGGATGGTGGCGTGCTCCAGGTCGAATTGATGGTTCTCGGCATCCATATGCACTGACATCAGGGAGTTCTGATCGTGGCGACGAATGGCTAGGCTGTGTTCGTGTAGCCTTGTGCCAAGCTTTCTTCCAGTCTGTCCCACGTAGTATTTGTCGCGTTCCGGCAGCAGATCTTATAAATCACACCAGTTACTTCTTCATTGCTAAGTTTATCTTTCACTTTGAAGGGTATACTGCAATTTGTTTCCGTGGGCCTGTGTGCAACTTTGACCCCAAAATGCAATAAAAGCCTCGCTACCATTTCAGAGATTCTGTTGATGTAGGGCAGCGTTGTTCTCTTAACAACTGTAGAATTTGTCGAGGTTTGTTGACCAGCCTTTTGTGGTGCAGGGCAGTTGAAAAGAGAACAATTTTGCCCTATATCAACAGAATCTCTGAAATGGCAACGAGGCTTTTATTGCATTTTGAAGTCAAAGTTGCACACCAGCCCACGGAAACAATTCGCAGTAAACTCTTCAAAGTGAAAGATAAACTTAGCAATGAAGAAGAAACTGGTGTGATTTATAAGATCTGCTGCCGGAACTGCGACAAATACTACGTGGGACAGACTGGAAGAAAGCTTGGCACAAGGCTACACGAACACAGCCTAGCCATTCGTCGCCACGATCAGAACTCCATGATGTCAGTGCATATGGATGTCGAGAACCATCAATTCGACCTAGAGCACGCCAGCATCCCCAGAAGGGCTAAAAGACGGCAAGTACGGGAGTTCATTGAAGCCTGGCATTCAAAGCAAAACCCAATCAATAATCACTTGGATATTGAAGTCGCTTACGAGGCACTGCGAACCAGGCCCCTGAAGCCGCACTGATGATGCTGCCTTGTCAGGCAACGAAACGTCTGCACAATTATCACTCAGCTCAAAGAACAGCTCAAAATCCGCAAATGACAATATCATTCTACATCCTTTGTCTTCGGATATTCATATTTGGAATTATAAATGGAAGTTCATGTTTCAAAATTGAGGACGCCTAAAACCCGATGTGTAACTGAACAAGTTGTTAATACATGAAACAACTCATGAGTAACGACGTTTGGAAGGGAGTAAAGACTGAGAGTGAGCGTCAGACGCGCACCATGGTAGAGTATACGTGACGGTCAACACGGCGCCGTTATGCACCAACAATAGATCGACGCGCTTAGACGAACTTGACAGCAGATAAGGGAGGAAAAATGCATGAAGCGGAAGAATGGATGGGGGCAATTCAAGAGTTGGGGATTATCTTGACTCACACGGCTGGTGAACTCTGGGACACGGTGTCATGTGCAGGCGGATATACTGACAGCGTGTGCTAACGTTCGATTAACTCACGATGATTCTTGACATATAGTGTCTGTCCACAAGTTAGATGTGTATATAGTTGTATAAGCCTAAAGACGAATGGTTGAGAGCCTATGTGCGCTTACCCTGACTTTTGAATGGATAATCACTGAACGCAAAGAAGAATGCATTATGCAAACTGGCGTGATTCGGGCTGTGGCGCAACGGGGAGAAGGAAAGAACAGTCGTCAACATAGCTGCTAAAGTGAAAGAGGCATTGATCAAATTGCAAACCGGATGGTTATTCAGCGGAAAATGCATTAGACAGCCGCCAATCGAGTCCAGAGTGGAAAAATGACGGTGAAACGTACCGATTCACCCGAAGGTTTCATCAAGATAGGAGCATCTAAGATGGAACGAGCAGAGGTGAGAGATGCGCTTGTCAAGGACGGAGAGGGTTGTACACGTGTAGCAGAATCAAGTGAACATCGGCGCTCAATTCCGTTGCGGATATCATCCGTATTAACGCTGGATTTGCGACCACCACCGGGGAGAGGTGGGACAGCTAGCTCATTGAGACGCGCTTGTTCCAAAACAACCGAGAATCGGGGAGAATATGAAGTGAACGAATGAAACACTGTCTCCGTATCTGGTTTATTCTCATCACTGTCTGTGTCCGATTCAGCAGAGGCGTCTCTCAAGGGATGGACAAATGAAGCTCGATGACTGAGTTGCGAGGGCGAGATCGATCCAACAGTGATGTGGTCTCTTTTCTTGCTATCCACATGTGAATCAATGGTCAGGTGTTGCAACATGTTCAGGGCACTGCGATGTACCGCAGACTCAGCAGCCATGGAGGAAGTCGTGATTGTGAGCTCGGCATCTCTTGCCTCAGTGGGAGGGGCTAGTAGTGGGGTAGTGGTATTGGGAAAAGAGTTTGCAAAACTAGGACAGGAGCCGGGCTCCTCTTGTGAAGCGTTGTGCGAGAAAACGGCTGTGTGATGAGAAGGGGAACGCGACTGAGAAGTCTCCGAACGAGACGAGGCAGGTGCAGTCTCACCCAAACTACGACATCGTCGCTTGACTTTGGTCTGTTGCCGCTTCTCCCGACTGAGGCGGGACGCCGCCGGTTTGCGAACACGGTTGGCACGATTCGAGGCAGTCGCATCTGCTCCAGATGCCCTTGTTTCTGAAGACGATGGGAGTAATGGGGAGGACTGATCACTGTCAACCATAGACCCATAAGGGTAATCGATATCCTCGTCACTTCTAATATCGTGCTGAAATCGATCTGTGCGGGGATCAAAATAGGAGGTATATTCATCGTGGGACAATTGGGGTACAAAGGCCGCCTTTTGCCTGAGCAAGTTGTTCCAATCCACAGGTGGGGGACCAGCGAAAAAATCGGCCTCTTCTACTTCGGTAGCTCCGTAAGCGGTACTCAGACGCATTAAAGGAGCACGTTCGAGCAGCATTGTGATTATTTCCACAGCCTCGTCAGGGACACGCCATTCTTCCTCCTCGGGCCACTCAATCGGAGCTGACAGTGAGAAATGTGAATGCGAAGAAAAAGATTAGGCTTTGAAGGAGCAATAACATTGGACTGTGGGTGAGGAATGATAGATAAGATTAATCCATTGACGCCACAAATAGCACAGCGATCTGGGAGTGCGATAAGCTGGTCACTGTGATCTCTTCGGTGGAGGCGGCACTGTTAGAAAGTAATGACTATGGTTTGCGATGAATACGGGTGTGATCAAAGTGGATAAAAACAACACACAGCCCGTTAGATAGAGTGTGAGAACAGTCGAGTAGTGCAAATAATTGACGTACGTTAAATAATAGACGCAGATAGATGAGGGAATTATGACCAAATACGATTATTCAGACTGTCAAAGAAGAAGTATGGTGGATAAAGACAGATTATGACAACCATAAGATTACAAAAATTCTTTACTGAGCCACATTGAAACATCATCGCCATCAACAACAAAATGTAAGAGAATGAACGTTACGAAAAGTAGAAGAGATCTGAAAAACGCGAATATAATACCAACTGAAGGGACTTTGGAAGTCGGAAGCACACCGACTGACACCGGCGGGGAGCAGCGCACACACCAACTTTGACCGTGTCCGCTTAGAGGAGTATGCGCGGCGTGTAACGATGATGACAGTGCCGATAGCCGACTGCCGCTAAAGACGAACTGGAATTGGAGAGGTTCACATGGCTGATGGAGCTTCTGAAGAAATGGACAGACTAAATAACAAAGTTACTCTGTTCCACCCCCCAATTGCTATGGCTTTCCAATGCGATTGGAGAGAACATAAAGTACCTGGAAAATTCCCAATTCATTAGCAGGAAAAAAGGACCTAAGGTAAACAGTTGTTTTCGATGATTCATCTTCAGACCCGTACAATCAGATGAGTGAAATAGCAATGGACGTAAAAGTGGATTAACGATCAGTTCAAATGAGATTGAACACATGCCGACCAAAGGTATGAATCAGCAACAAACGGCAAACTAGGACAGAGGTGTAGTTGCACAATTACATTTGCTCTCAGAAGGATCCATTTTGGCTGGCCAAGATAGCTTAACAGCTTCAATCAGCTTCTTTTGTGCATATAAAAGCGGTTGACACAACCGAATGCTGATCGCCTCGGCAGTAGCAAGGGTGCGGAGGCACAGGTCTTTCGACTGGAATGGAGGGACCCTGTATAGTATTCGAAAGGCGTGGATTGGGTCAACCTCATGCCGTTTGTTGCTGGTTCATGCCCTTGGTCGGCATGTGATCAATCGCATTCGAACTGATGGTTAATCCACTTTTACGCCCATTGCTATTTCACTCATATGCTTGTACGGGTCTGAAGATGAATCGTGGAAAACAATTGTTTACCTTCGGTATTCTGTTTTTGAACATTAAGAATGTTGGATATGAATCCGGTGGAACACAGATGGAGCTCGGTTCAAACAAAAATAATAGAAACGAATCAAGTAATTCTACAAATGAAGCAACGGTCAAACGCATCCGGAACCGGCGAATCGGTGACTAAACAGAGGGAAGAGGTAGGATCGCAGTGGTTCACTGTGAGCTCACCGTTTACGATTTGTCCGAAAAGATCCTCGATGGAGCACCCACTAAATGGCACGCAGCCGACGAGGAACTCGTAGAGAATGATGCCCATGGACCACCAGTCGACCGGTTTACCTAGTTTGGAGGGAAAATCAATGAGAGCGGGAGAAGAACAAACAACATGATACGTCCTCTGCATCATATAGGTGAAGTTCCGCGGCAACAAGTCTATACACTAGGAACCTACCGTAGCCCTGGCGTAGAATGACTTCAGGGGCGATGTATTCTGGAGTGCCAAACACCTGTTTATCACGAAACATTTTGCAGTCTTTGTCCATGTCCAGATTCTTTTCATACAAGTTGGTAGCCAAATTCATCAACCCGATTCGAGAGAGCCCGAAATCTGTCAATTTGATGTGACCTTCATGTGTGATTAGGAGACTGTGGAGAAGAACGGGAATAGTGGTTATGACGATATGTAAATTGCACTAAGCCGGAGGAACGAGAGTGAAAACGACATGTAAAGCAAAGAGAATAAGGTGAAACGAATGTCGAAGAGAAGCATTTTTATTGTCCTTACAAGTCAACGACTAAGACAACTAGGTCTTATAGGTGGTGGAAACTGTAGAGCTACCAGTTATGGTACAATGTCTCGTTCCGAAGTGTCAATCGCACATAGTTCTCTGTGTCGAGAGACTTATGCACGTTGCGACAAAGTCGACGAACCAGAATCGAACGCACAGACCACACACAAATGTGATGCACTAATGCGGCTTGTTTTCCATCCGACCACCGAACGACTAGGCGCATTCTCCATATATATATATATATATATATATATATATATATATATATATATATATATATTTGATTGCAGATCATGGGAATCGAAGGCGGTTGATCGGCGTGCATGTCGCGATCTGATCACGAAGGCAGTTGCCAAAGTGCAGGAGAAAGCTCTCATGCATGCGGAGAAGTAGCGGCAAGCACCGATGGGTTGTACTCCATCGACATCGAACGCATGGTGCTGTAGCACATGCGGTCGCGAGTGCCTGAGTCAGGCAGGCCTAGTGAGCCATGAGCGAGGCCATTCGGGACCACTATCGAAGCGACGACGGGTCCTGCAGAGAACGTAGGCAAAACCGGAGCAGCATTTGTAGGCACGCTGCATTCGATTTACTAACCGCGTGCTTGCATGCTATGTCTATTTATTTCAGGTGGTGGGTTTTCAATTTTGTCCTAATGCTTTTCTTTCTCATTTAAACGTCTACCTGTACTCTCTTCTATAAACTTGCACACGTCGCTTAAGCCAACTGTAGCTAATTTTGATAACATTTCCATGTTTGTGGCATTTCTGTAAAATATACTTTCAGACCTCGTGAACTGATCTCCGATTCTTTTGTAGACAACTTCTTTCATATGCTCATTAATTTACAATTTATGTCACTGTTTCCTTATGCATTACTCGATTTATGTATCTTTCTCTCAAGTGATTGGCTGTTGCATGATATCCCCGGTGTGGCTGCGCTTGATATGCATGTTGACAAGGTGCCTACCTGTCTATTACCCACTACCTCGTCCATACTGGCTCTAGGAGACAGTTGGTCGTTGCTGGAGGGGACGGGGTGCACGGTCCTTGTGACCGTGTTAGGATCAAAGAGTGGTTCCATGCACTCAGTGTGGAGCGGACTACGGTCCAGCCACCGCCTTGTGTGCACTTGATTCCCAAATACAGCGTGCTTGTGTTTGCCTGTGAAGGAGTGTGAGCCGGCTCCGTTGATGAAACGTGGCTCCCATCCGCATGCCTCCCGGTCTTATTCCTTCGGGTTTACACTGGATATGGGGTGTGTGGTTGGAGCTGTGGGTGGTGCAGCACAAGCCATCCATGGTCCCTCTGTAGGCGCATGCGTCCTGTGGCTGGCCACAGTGACAGGCAAATCCGAAACCGGATGCCGCCAACCATATGGGGCGGGGTACTATTTAATTCGATTGATTGACAAGTTTGCAGTATACGGTGCCTTGAATAGAAGTTACTGACTAGGCTAGATCATTGACAGTTACCATGAATGGTGAACAAGCTATCTATTCGTGTACCAACACAGGTAAGTCACCTCTGATAGCAAAAATACTTAAGAGATTAGTATGCGCAGTGGCGCAACGACTGGGAGCCCAAGCGAGATGTCACACAACCGACCAAAGGCATGATGCGCGGAGCTGTGAGTAGCCGAAAAAACAACAGGTATTGACAGCAGGTAAAACGAACCTATCATGAAGCTTAATCGGTTGGGTCGCATTGCGTAGACAGTTACTGTTGTGGTCGATTCATCACGATGTCCTTCTACTCATGTTTCATTGGCTTGCTGAAACAGTAAATTTCTTCTAATTGGTTGTGTAACATTCGGACGGTTAAAATTGATTATTCTGTGTGTTGGGTTTGTTACCGCTTGATTGAATACGGACACACATCCTGCAGTTTTCTGTTGCCTTCTTGATACAACAGTTACACAATCATAGGTGTAAAGTAATTGGAAAATCTAAGGGGAAATCGTATTGAAAGGTGTTGGGCACTTGCATAATCGGGAGATCCCGAAGAGAGAGAACAAAAAGGGGGAATGGGAACTAAAATAAGTATCAGTAGTAGGCCTGTACGCAGTACCGACGCTTCGCTGCCGCGTAACCAACGACAGACGAGCGTGAGCTAAGGATGTTGCAACAGGCACCAGGTCCACTAAGAAGGTTCGAAGCTGCGGACAGGCTTGTGATCCTTTAGGCCACGCGTTGGCAGTGGGAACCAACGGAAATACCGGACTAATAACTGGTTGGAGTCAAGTTCAAAAGCGCCGCAATGCCATCAGCTGGTTCGTGTCAGACAGCAGTCTCAAGCCCAGACACAGTGAACTAAGAGGCGCCCTGCGAGGCGGACGACAACACAATGAAGATCGGTGTATCTACACTTATGATCATACTGTCACTGAAGTGCGCTGTGGGGTTACTCGGCATCGGTACCGGATACCGAGGAAGTTAAACGTTAGACACGCGATGTAACGGACGTAGACAGCTCCACATTAGTACATGGTCCATCGCACTAATGGATTAGGCTACAAAACAACCTCTAGTGGACTACCTAATATGGAAAATGTTTCTCGAGCATTATCGGGCGAAACAACTGGTTTTTCGATCGACGAAACGTGTGGTGGTCGCCACACCGATCCATTGTGGTAGTGTTGTCTCGTGCATGCGTACGACAGACCCACGGGCCTTCCTGGCAGTTGCAGTAACCCATCACATGTGATGCGACTGCCTAATTGGATTAAATGAATGGTCAGTCTCAAGAGAGTGGGAAGCAGCCAGAAAGCGCGAAGCAGATGGCAACAAGAGCAGAATTCAACATCGAGCTCTGGTGGACGACAGGGGGCGTGAAGCTGACTCTCAAAGAGAATCATCTCGTCCACACTCTCAAAGACGTCATTCTTTTAAAAAATCACACTACAAGCATCATAAACAGGTCAGGTCAGTACAGTCGAACAACTAGGATCCAGGCGGCGAAATGCAGTGGAAGCAGTTGTCACGACTTACGTCATGGGATTAATGATAAATAACAACGGTAAGCAAATGAAACGGAACGCAAGAAATACAGAAAAGGGAATCAAGGAGGTGCGTTAAAGTAGTCAGATTTGGATACAAATTAACAGCTAGATGCAATATACCGAATGCAGGAGCTCTGCTGACTACGCCATATCCGAGAAGGTCTCCAACCACTGGTTGTGACTATCACGGGGTCCCCATCCACGAAAACCACATGCATCAAACTTCTGTAACAGTCAATTTCTTGATGCTTCTATGACATATCATGGACTGGTCACCTCGCGGTTTCGTCCAACTTGTTGCAGCCAAGTTGTGTAATGCGCGCCGAGGAAGCCGGTCGATGGGCGCACGGAGGATATGGCCTAGCCAACGTAGACGATTGACAGTCAGTAAACATTTGAGTGAGGCACCGGAAGACTTATTGTCAAAAACCAACTGACGGACTTCAGCACTGCTCACCCGGTGTTCTCATCAGTCGTGAGCGATACACCGCAAGCACCGGTGATCAAACACATCCAAAAGTTTAGTGTTGTCACTGCAAACTGACCAGGTCTCTGATCCGTACAGTAACACTAGCCTTATCGTAGCGTAGTATACCGTACCTTTCACTGACAGCTGATATCCCACCATCTCCATGGATGGTTTAGCTCCTGGAAAACCACAGAGGTTTTGCTGTTACGGGACGTAACGTCCTCAATGATGTGACCACAGGAGGTGATAGCTACCAAAGTAAGTGAATCGATTCACCATTTCCAGTGGCTGTTCGGTGACAGCTAGAACAAGTGGCGTATTGGTCCAGTTCTGCAGCGGTAGTTTGCACTTCGAAAGTGCTAACCCCAGGCCGTAACATGCTGTCTAGCAGAGTTGACACAGTTACCAAGATAAGTGGGCCCAACAACAACTTCCAATGATTATTCGGTGACAATCAGAACCGGTTGCATGGCGACATAGTTTTGGAACGGTATCTTCCACACGCAAAGCATGTCCCCAAACGTGCAGCACTATGCGTCAACCGGTTTAGGAGTAGTTGTATAGCTACTGAATCCGATAACATCATGGAACCAAATAGGGGAGGTGAAATGAGTTGCCTCCGACGCGCCACACCGGTGATGTTGCACACTAGGAAAGGAGGTCCAGAAAATTCTACTGCAGTTATGACAACAAGAGCGTAGAGCTAAGAAGCGCGATAGGATGATACAGAGTGAAAACGACAGAATTCAGCTAAAGTAAAATGCTAATTGGGTGACTGTGTAGCGCAAACACATTCTCCATAAGCGAGTTAAAATGGAGACGTGGCGCTGAAGATGAGGTCAGTTTGTTGAGGAGTACCTCAGGCGCACGGTAACCTTGATTGCATGCGCTTTCCATGTGAGTATCCAAGTATGCCGATTTGCTAAAGTCAGCGGATTAAGTTCATCTTAAACGATATAGCATCAAGAAGACAATGGCACGTGAGACGAGGACGGCGATGTACACAAACAAAAGGCAGCATAATAATAGGAAAGGTTAAAAAATCGATAGAAAAGCAGCTTGCATTGGGCAAAACTCACTTGTCCGGTTTCAGATCCCGATGTACAATTCCGTAATTGTGCAAATACTCCAAAGCAAGCACAGTCTCGGCAAAATACAAGCGTGCCAAATCCAAAGGCAGTGGGCCACCGATTTGTTTCAGCAACTTCGCGCAATCCCCGCCCTCTACATACTCCACGACAATGCACAAACACTTTTTCGTTTCGAATGTACAGCACAGGCTGACTACGAACGGATTGTCGGCAAAACTCATGATATCTCGCTCGGCAAACACCTGTTCAACTTGATTGCGAAGCTGAAGATGTTGTTTTCGGATTTTCTTCATCGCAAACCGCTGACGAGTGGCACGATGTCGCACGAGGTAGACGGCTCTGAAGAGATAGGGAAGATACGACAGACAATCGTCTGAGAACAGACAGCGGTGATGAGTTCTTCATACGGACACAGGTGAAGAAGACGTTCAATAAACGAGCTTGTCGAGGAAGAAAAGACTAAGAAAGGTGGGAACGGGACCTGAGTGGCATCCGGTGAGAACGATTAGGATTTGAGTAGATTTGGGCATGAGCAACAAACCACCGAAAATGCAGAAAGCGCAGTCCGCTTTCCCAAGCGCTGAACAGAAATATGCGTTCACACCAAGAATAAGCGTGTGACAAAAGTTACGAGTCTAAGGAAGACCACTGGGGAAGTGAACGTAACGATCGTTAGCACCTATTTGGCGCACCGGAATGATACATGACATAGATGTAAAGCAATTATGAGAGTGTGAATGCGTGCACGAAAAGCAAAAAAGCATGTGTGTGTGTGTGTCTGTGTGAGTGTATACACATGATTTAGGGCCGGATAGTCTACTTGTCTCGCAGCGGGGTACGGAATTGGTTATGGGCCGGAAAAACACCCCATTGGGTCGAGGTGCTACGCATGGCAACATGTGGAAGCGGAAAACAAAATGACAGGAACGGTTTCTCAAGTGGGCTCGGCACAAACCAGTTGGTCTCTTTTCTGCACACTGTGGATGGTCTCAATCGCTTCGGAGTGTATTTCAAGATATTGAACATATCAGAAGCAAAAGACAGCTAAGCGAACAAGCTTGTTTTCGGTGGTTCGCATCAGGCCAATACATCACAGAAAATAGGAATAAAACGAACACAGGGTATTTAAATACGGTGCATCAATGAAGTGAATTGATCGGTCAATGAGATCAAGTGACGACACTGGCTAGGGCAACATTAGTGGAACGGTTAAGCATGGGGTTATTATATAGGGAAGCTTGAGGCTATGGTAGCTGTAGAGCCTGTACAAACCTCTTTGGAGCACATAAGTTGGGATTATGGGGCTGGATAGCGATTACCTCCGCTGTCGCTAATAGGCGACATCGGAGGGCTCGCATGTGTCGTCCAGATATCCTGTAGATAGGCCGGAAGGCCTCTCACACATTCACCTGGTGATTTGAGTCGACCAAATGCCACAGCACCGCGCTGGCTATTGTCTTTATGACACTAGTGTAGAGCCATGCCGGGTAATGTTCTCGGACTCTCTCAGACAGTCGCCTGGCCGTCTTTGCAATATAACTTGCTTGAAACGAGCAAGAAAAATCGTACACACAGAAGGAAATATTTGACTTCGGTATCTTGTCCTTGAGATGTTGACTCACGACTGGCGTAGAAGTGAAGCTGACATGGAGGTCAGCTGCAAAGTAGGTTCTCGCGATTGCATTGTAGAGCCTTCGAGTAGTTCGTTCTGCTATCACATCACCCTTGAAATGTAGTGATAAGTAGATTAAGCGATTTTCAGCGGTGATTGGTCGGACTTTTGGTGCTCGTGGCTCCCTGTGTCTCCGGATGAATTTGTCAGGATAACCATTTTATTCGAGAACGCTTCAATTGAAATTCCATTTATCTGACAGCGTATCTTCCGTGCATGTTTTCCTCGCTCTTTCCGTTAGACAGCGGACAAGGTTTCGTTTTTGACTCATTGGAAGGAAACTAGCGAACTGGGTATGCTGGCCGCTCCAAGTTGTCTTTCTGAACACTCTTTTGTACTGTCCCATTTGATGTCCCGGTGATGTGGACATCTAAGAATGAGAAGGAGTTGTTACTTTCAAGTTCTATAGTGAACACTATGTTGTTGTGTGCAGCGTTGAAGTGGGCTAGCAGATCTTCGATGCAGATCCGACCATCCGCAACATATAATATATCCTCAACGTATCGACCGTAGTAAACCAAGTTGTTGTTACATTCTTTTAGCTGAGTGTTCTCCAACTCACTCATGAAGATATCGGCGAGTAGTGGTCCTAATGGTGAACCTAGAGCTGCCCAGTCTATGTGTCTGCAAAACGTGAATAATCCGCATTAACTGAGATCCAAAATATGTGCAAGCACCAGGGGAGCAGACAGAGTTCAAGCACAAAAGACAACTAATGGATTAACCAGCACAAATCGCCCTGCGATAACGATGGCTGTGTTCGCTACATGGCCGGTCAGTAATCGGCACCTGCGAGAAAAGATAAGTACGGTGAGTAGATAAGAAAATGCAATAGCGCTGCGCGCCCCAGTAAAGCTGTGAATTTGGGGTGGTTGTTTACGTATTGAAAGCGACAGCAGTTGATGTAATACAGGAAGTGTGAATCTTGTCAGTCAACGAGGCCGGGTGGAAGCACTCTTGGGATTATGGACGGACCCACATAAGGGTGAGAACAAGCAGGTGGTTACCGGTGGGATACAGTCCCTGGCAAGTAAAGCGTGGTTTAGGGTTGGTGGGTAGCAGTACACGCTGTGGTGGTGAAACGCTAATCTTTGTGATAGGAATTTTACAGCAATCACAGTAAAGCAAGGGGGGTTCAGATAAAGAAATAAGTACAGATAACATTGATACAGATGACTCGTGGGCTTACCCATAAGCACCATTCGAAACCAATTTGATCAGTTCGAAATCCGCTTCACACGGAGGCCGAGTAGATGTACCAGATTTGATGGAGGCGGCTCGAGAAACATCATCAGCGCGCGACGAATCTGGACTACTTGAATGGTGGCTCGGATGGCCCAAATCAACAGGCAGATCACGAGCAACATCGCTGTCGGTGTTTGCAGTGTATGATTCTTAAAGAAGAAAAACACACGCAGCATGCGTTCTAAGCGTCTGTTGAATATATCATTAAGGAATTCATCCGTTCCGCATATGGACCAGTTTAAGAAAAGAATTAGCAATGAGATCAACAACACCGTGGAAAGGAAATGAGTAGTGGTCAAATAAAACCGATATAACCTTCAATCGAACTTCATTGGTGTCTTGGTTACGAGCGGGCAATCACACAACCGTATAGAGTATTACGGTCAAACAACTTAGAAACTAAGTATTCATGTCACAAGCAGCAGCAATGGACCGGCATCCCGTAAAGAAGAGCATCAGTAGTACGCTGGTACGCAATACCGACGCTTTGCTGCCGCGCGTGAGCTAAGGCTATTGCAATGGTCGACCGGTCCCCTACGCAGGCTCGAACCTGTGACCTCAGATTGCGAGGCGGGCTTGCGATCCATAAGGCTACGGATCAGTATACTGTATGGAGGCTTCGCTGCCACGCGGCCGCATGCAGATTAGGGATACTGTGAGGTCGTTCCCACCCACGCCAAGTTGAACCAGTGACATTTGGAATACAAGCCAGACGGCTGAGCCGGTAGGCATGTTGTTGGTGGTATTCGAACTACGGAACCGCAAATCACAGTTCCAAGGACTTGAGATCTTCTTGGTAATGCCCAATCGATACCTCGGGCATAAAGAGTACCGCTGAGATCAGAAGTTAGGTTACTTAGACAGAGGGTCGAACAAACAAACCACGACACCGTGTCGGCATCGTTCGGCGCTGTATTAGGTTTGGAGCTAGGTCCGCATGTCATCTGGCCGGTGCAGACTCCGAGAGCGGGGAAGCATGTGGAATGGATCGCGATGAAGGAGAGTTGCTCCTCCGCTGTCGTAACATAGTCAAACGGTTGCTGAAGCAAAATATAAAGGAGCGGAGAGGCACATCTTCCCTGCTGTAAGGTGGGGAGATCAAATGGGCACTGTTGCCTACAAAGGCTTTCTAATTGTGGCCGATTACTACGCGGATAGTACCGAATAATAGCGAGAAAATTCAAACAAAAGTGTTCACAGTGGAGCATTCGTCCAACAATCAAACTGAAGGCCTCAAAACAGATCACTGTCTACCTTAGCGGAGTCGAACCGGACTGCGGAGCATTCAAAAATCGGGACCAACATTGAGCAGCGAACAAACAGTTAGTAAAGTGTGGGTAGACACGTTGCTTACACATCGCACCGAGGAACAATAAGGCTGAGCTTCATCAGTATGACCCGTATCCGTCGTTGCCACCTGTTAGTTGGTGTGCCTCACTCACGGCTAAGATAACCAGGTGCGAAAGATCCATTGAGAAAAGCGGTTGCGTCTGATTATCTCTGACGACTCCGCATATGTTCTACACGTTTGGTATCCTAGATGCCGACTTAGGGGAGGTAGGAGAAAGTCAGGTGAGAGTGTCTTAATTTTCGTCTCGGTGTATATGACTGGTGAATAAGAAGATATTTGAGAAAAAAACGCTGGAATGATTCAGCTAGCCACAGAGACCATGTTAGTGTGGACTTTCGGTGTAAAAGCCGTAGACGGGTGTGGTTCACGCCGACTCTCGACTAGTCTCTAACTCGGTAGGAACCAGAAAATGTTGAGCGCATAGCTCCTACTGTAAGATCATCAGTGAAGCTGCATTTCACAGCGAAACAGGTAAAACCGGCTCTCATTGCAAGGGTCCAACTAAAACTGGTGCGTAACGACACAGTTGAGGCATCCAATTCCCGAACGGCATGGCTGAATCAAAATGCGGTGTCGAGAGTGGATACAAACAGGCCAATGATGTCTGTCAGTGATGGTAGATGCCATTGCAGTCATCATACGCGTTATTGTCCATCAAATAGACGTAGAGTATAGTGTAGAGCAAAACAGTTGTCAGCCTGAACCGAAAAACAACGCAGCGGGAAGCGGTATTGTATAACGTGGATGCCGCAGTCCTCTGTAGACATTGGAAGCATTGCGGGAACGACAACATGCATATTGCTTCCGTACTGGACCGAAAAAAGATGGGATTACAGTGACGGAAAGAGGGAGCGGTTGTCAGGTCCGGGTTGAAAATAGTCTCATGTGGGGCGATAATTAGAAGACCGAGGTCTTGCAAAAGGAGTACCAGACAACAGCGTCGATTGATACACTGTTGCAAGTTCACCAACTAACAACCTCATATATGCACTGTGTAGAATGAGTTCAAATCCACACCATTGAGAAAAAGATAAGACGACCTACCAAAGACGGCCAGAACGGAAACCCCTGATGTTCATGCAATGAGTTGCAAAGTAACTGTCTTACTGCATTTGAGCGCCTCTGGCATCCTGTATGCGCTGTGCATGCAAGGTTAAAGACACAAGTCACTAGGTACAATAACCGAAGACGACTAGTATAATGTCAAAATCTACCCCATTGGCATGGAGCAGACAGGAATAACTCTGATGTGATATCAAAAAAGCCAGATAGTAACGGTACCTTCGACCTTTTAAAGGCCCATGAGTTCTGAAAAGGGGCTTTTGTAGAGTGGATTGTAGTGCTTAAGGATTCCAAACACTGCGAACAACGTCGTCGTCGTAAAGCGCTTGACGGAAGAGATTCATGAAAAAAAGGCGGGCCGCCTCGCAGGTTGGTTAAAAAACGCTGTAAAGGTGCGATCGATTCTAAACTGATGGACGTCTCTTATGGTCGCGGACGAAGCCAGTAGGAACCCGTATGCCGCATTTAACTTCAGAACAAATGATGGCTAATGGGCTGCCACGAGCACGTGGTTAGCAATTTTGAGCGGCATACCATTCTAATGAGTCTGAATCTCGAAGGAGTAGACTAGATAAGACTCGGTACAGTATAAATATTAAGGATGTGTTAGTTACTGAAGCTATAACGAGAGATTAATCCCAAGTGCCGTGAGAAAACGAAGGTGAGCAGCGCCAACGGCGCATGGTGGCTGGCATGTGGAACAAGAGGCGGAGTTCAAATCTCAACAATCACTACCTCGCGGCATTTACTCGAGCCTAAGTAATCAACAAATTTCTATTGGCACGCAGCACTTATGACGCAAAATGGTGGAAATCCTAGACAAAAATGAGTTCCAGCCAAGAGTTCCAAGTTGGCTGAACTTCCTCCAGAACTGCTCAAGAGTGTCAAACAAGTGACATCTTTGTTTTCCAAGATCTAACAATAAGAAAGGACCTCTCGACTTGGGGCAAGAAGGTCGTTAATCCCGCGATGAGACAGTGTGTGTAACGCTTAAACCGAATGACCCAAACTGGGTGATGGCCCTGCACTTGTTGAGAGCTACTCCAGCCAGACGAACTCTGTATCTTGATCATTCAGATCTGGGGTTGAAAATGGGATGGCGTCCATTTCTGTAAAACCGAACCATTGTCATCCCCCAGCTGTCTTGCGTACAGGCTTTCGAGCCAAAGGCTTAGTCTGAGAACATTAAGCGCTCTTCTGCCTACGTTTTGGCTATCTGGCATTATCTCAGACCATGTACAACCATGATCAATGGTCAACCACATCCGGCATCAGCTATCGCGCAACTTCAAAAGGACAGCTTTATCTGCTGCATACCGCAGGGTGGGTAGGCGAAAAGATGCGACTGCTGATGCCACTCTTCCTTATTTTCCACTTGTTTAGCTCATAATCCGGCCGACCCTCATTACTAACTTGCGTTCATTACTCCTCAGTTTAGCAGACAACAACTGCAACACCACTGAAGTCACGTTATTCGCAGCCGTTTTCTCAAATTACCTATTGTTGACCATTTCACCTAGCTTGGTAGCTGCATCAGCAGCTATGGGCGCTTGATTGCACTGTGACAGCCAGAATCGCTGTCATGAACCTGCGACATACATGGCATCAGAAGGGAAGTTCCCTCGATCTGAAAGTTCACAGTGAGGGCTGTCCTCCATAGGAGGGACTTAGCCCCTTCGATCTGAAGATCCAAAGCTCTTTCAAGCTTTTGATCATTTTTAACTGCGGAGCATTGCTGATTAAGGATATCAGCGCATCCGCAACGGTGGCATGCGCGGACGAGTACTAGGCGGTGATAATCAAGGTACTTCGTTAAACTAACAAATAACAGTGAATAAGTTACGTTTGCTTAGACACGTTCTACGCATGCCCCATTACCGTTTACTGAGGAGGACTTTGATTTGTTTGCCGGATGTAGGAAGGTGCAACACCCGAGGTGAGCAAAGGTTGACTTGGCAGAAAGAAATGATGTCACTAACAACTAAACTGGGGATGTCAGTCTGTTTAGCCTCCATGATTGGGGTCCATCTGACCTACCCTGCACTTGGCTAGAGATTTCACAGGACATAGTTCGCAGTCGGAGCCTGTGGCGGACTTTCTAGCGTCTCCTGTTCGGAGTGTCTGTTTAATGTGCATCTGATGCTGAGTTAATTGTGGGGTATTTACTGGTTATGACGCGGGCCAGTGAAAACCGCAAAAAAGCTAACTCGCAAGTGTCACCTTAGCTTTGCACGATATCCAGCTATTTGTAAACGTGTTGCCGCAAAGCTTAGGCGCCGTGCCGCTGAGTGTTTGGTAGGCCCGAAAGAATGGAGAGTTTACCTTGTAACTGAGACGTTACTGGTTTGAATCTGCGTAGGTTCGAGCGACCTCGTGTGCGACTGATGGTGGTCGCTGGCAGCGAAGCATCCGCGTAACGCACTGGCTTGCTTTTCTCTCCCTTCCTTTCCTCCCATTATGCTTCGTTTTGTAGGTCACTATGGTTGTACAGCAGGGAAGCGTCAGTGCAAATGGCTGGAGTATTGCTGTTGAGGATTTCAGAGTGGCAATTACCTGCTACTGTGTTCACTCTTGAAGGTAAGCAGATTGAACAGGTGAACAAGTTTGTTGGCTTACGGAGCTGCGGCGTTCCTACTGGTAGAAGTGAAGGATATGAGACCTTTCGCTGCATCACTGAAGTGTGATTGGAGCTAGTCGAGTTGACATATGTGGCGCATCTGTCTCTAGCAAGAAGAGAGGGTTTACAGTGTCAATGCGGGCGCGGTGGTGTAGTGTGGAGGCGAGACCTAATTGACCCGCGTTAGCAGTCAGCCAACGACAACTGGTGTTCGTAAAGGATCGCTCGTGCACAAGAGAAACACCACATTCGCAAGCAGTGAGGATGTCAAATATCATGACTTGGAAAACACAGGTTCCTTTTCCATGAACCATGTCTCTATGCACGTATTGCGGTGGTTGAGCAACGTTCCAAGTATGTCATGAGAATTTTGTCACACCTCGCCACCCTGTTGTAATTTTCGCACGGTGGTGCTGAAAGAGACCGCTTGCTAGGCAAACAACCATCACTTGGCGACAAAATGTGATTGCTGATGGATGGATGGATATTGGGTACTCTGCCTGCCTTTGAATGCGAATCGCGGCCCACAATAAGATTGCGCATCGCAATCCATTCACGCAGGAGTATTACAAAATGAGATCCCACTAATTATGCGATTGCTAACTTCTCGTCCGGCTGTTGTTGCATCGGTGATGCTTCCCAGATGAGGATACGAGAACGAGGAAGCGGGATTGAATGGAAAAAAAGGGAGTGTATACCTGAAGGGCTCTTGGGTCTAGTGTTGTTACCCTGAAGAGAACATGGTGTGTGAAAAAGACAAAAACTGTCAACGGCCCTTACAAAACCGTCTTGCTTTCAGTGGTTTAGATGGCACATTATCACCTATACACCTGCATCTAATTTAAACACGGTAGCAGGTAGATACTTTTGCTCGAGTGTTGGTGCGCAGGTGCGTGAAAGAGGGGACTAGGAGGGCTCCGGTTCTCGTGGATCGGTTACGAAGAGAAAGTGCAATGAACGAGAACGAGAAGGAATCGTGTTAGGGGGGCACACAAACAACACTACATTCCAACTTAGGTAAGCAACGGCAGCAGCAGCAGCAGCTGGTGCAATGTCACCAAACAAATGATTGGCGAGATGCGTCACAAGGTGGTCAGTGTGAAGGATGGGTGAGAAGAAAAGGTGCGAACCACACTGGCCGTCAAGAACAGAACAAGCGCTCGGACAATGACGCCAGCAGTATGGTTGGCGAGTGTGCGTGGACGAAGTAGGCAGTAGATACTAGTGGAACTGATAAACAATAAACCTGCGAATGCCGGCAGATTGACCAGTCACGTGATGATATAAGCAACAGTACATGGTGCACTGTGGACCGTATCACGCGGAGCAGCGCAGATTGATGCAGATAGAACCACCGACAGTTGACAGAACGGAGACGGACGGACGAACGCACATAACACAACACACATCGACTGAAGACACGTTACAATGGCTGAGATACTGTATCGGCAACTTGGGGGGGGGCGGTCGAAGCGCACACGTTGTACTCAGCAACAGCTGATATTCAAACGAACTCTCTCGTTTGAACACATGGTGAACAAGAACACAATGGAACCAACCTTAGCACGGAGGTGAATAGGAACAACACGATCACATGATGGTAGGTGAGAAAGAAGCCACAAATGCAATACTGATAACGGTCATCCAAGTGAGAAGCGAGGCGAACGGAAGATGGGTTTGCCAACAACCCCTTGAGTGTTTAAGTGCAATGAAACAGCTTGTAGCATCTACGGTAGCCAGTGGATTAAACGCGGACAGTGATGGAAGCGGGAAATGAGAGAAAAAAATAAGGTAAAATACAATGAACACAAGCGAGTTAGGCTGAAGGACTAGACAAAAACAAGGATAGGTCATTTCCATGGCATACCGGAAAGTGAAATCAATGGGTGTTCGACTCACACATCACATTTAGCAAAAGTAATCGACTTTCGTATAGTTTTGACAGTGCAACTCCGCTGAATAGGACGTTAGATGAAGGGATAGTGAATGTGCAGTCAGGCACTTCACAAGTACCAGGAAAACGAGGAGCATACGTGCAGGGCGCACTGAAGCGAGAATGGAAGTTAAGCAGCTGTCGCAAATAGCTTGACGATGGTGGATAGATACAGGCCATCTGTGATTATTGGCAATATGAGCAATTATTGTTAAGGAAAGCTTTCCGCTGGGTAGACAGATCATATTAAACAGGAAGTCAGTAAACATTCGATAGATAGCGAATTCGGTGTTTTGACTCCTGAGTGACCTGGGATAGGTGGTAACAAACAGTCGAGCAATAGATATGCTCCTCCGGTGTGCTATGCCTATGTTATACGACCAAGAATAGGCTCGTAGCCACTAAATCGCTGTTCCCGTGAGCGTGTTTCATCGACCTCCGATGAAGCAAGGAGAGTAGCGAGAGCAAATACATCTTACCCAAAAGCACTGATCAAACACGTATAGCAAAGCATCCAAGGACATCAGGGTACAGTAGGCTTCATAGCATATAACGATATCATACCGCGTTGGAATCTAGTCTTGTTGTGATCGCATGAGAAGGTCATTCAAGTGGTCACAGAATCACAAGCGGTCTCAACGTTGATGTCAAACCAGGTATTCCGCTGGTGACGCGTCCAACAACACGATCAGGGGACAGCAAATGGACCAAGCAACGGCGTGAACCGCCAGTGCTAACAATAACGATGACAATGAAAACGAATGCGTACGCCTACGATGGAGGCCATCACTGCTCGGGGTGTGTTTTATCTAGGCGTGTTGCAGATAGGATGATCGCAGTCGACTGAGTTTGCTAAGGAGGTCAGGTGCAGAAACACAGCGTCACAGCGCGAAGGAAAGAATCAATATATAGATCGATTTAGCTCATGAAATTGCATATTCAAAGACGTGCTTTGATGGTTTAGCTACATAAGGTGTAATACAAGGTAAGTTTACCAGAGTTGGTGTATTGTAGACTCGCATCTACATTTTGGGTAGTGAACGAAAACGGCCTACTGAAAATTATCGTACCACACTCTCATAAACCAAAAGACACTCCAATCTGTGTACACTTAAAATTCAATATAACTTCACTCGGAATATACGCAACAAGACCTGTACATTATGTCTGCCGCGAACCAGGACAGCTATCCGATCAAACTTCTTCCTCGTCAGATACGCTGTCGTGTGGAATAGACTATCAGCCACAATCAGGCCTTGCACAAATGCAAGAGCATTCCACATTCAGCTTAGCAAATTCCTTGACCAGAACTCGATAATGACCATGTTTCCATCAGGTAAATCACCATACGAGTTCTTTCAGGAGGGACCAAGGAATATAAAATAAACGATTAGAGATGGTACAAAGAACTCAGCAACAACAAAAGTCACGTGATTCCAAATTATTTTGATATCATACACGCCATATTAGATATTTCACTCATGCATGAGCTTGATAATTATTGTGCCCATGATCTGTCCACAATCCAGAGACAGCTTCTCGTACGAACGGGAAATATAAGTATTATTATTATTAGGTGGTTAAAGTTGTCTACTACTCCAAGTTTATGAGTGGCGCTGTAATTTCAAGTTGGTGTTGATAGTGAGGCTGATACGGCTCAGTCTCGGCGACCACAGACTGCGACGTCACACAGTATTAGTACAATTGGTAAGCTGTTGTGGGACAACAGGGGAATAATGAGAGAAGGGGTTGTTGAAATAGCTCCAACAGTCTCGTCTCCGTGCATATCATCACAAAAATCCTGCAACAAATAGTACACAGTCCGTGCTCGAATCGAACGATCAATACATGGAGGCCTGTTCCCCATTGTCGAAACGGTACAAAGAAGACCGCATTGTTGCGATGATGAATCGCTGGTGCCTTGTTCTCAGCCGCAGACCAAGTAGAAAACGGTGCTATGCATTACCACCGAAACAAAATAAACTCCGCACAGCTCGTTTCGCTGGCAGGTCAAAAAAGAAAGCGGGTGACTCACTTTAGGGTCTTACGGCGGGAGGGTAATGCTTGCTCGCACACCTCTTGCGTCACGGTATTGAGACTCCACACACCCCTATGTAACCGGCCTGGCACCAAGTGACTGTCGTGTAATAGGATCGCTAAAAGAGTCACTTGATGGTCAAAAGTGCGAGATGGATGAATCGGTTCAAACAGCGGCACATGAAGGCTCTGCATTCGAGCAAAAGAAGCCATTCCCAAACAAACCTACGAAGTGAAGGCACACACAGTTAGTGTCAGATGGGTTAGGTGGGAAGATGTTGCGCTACCCACCTCACGACGCATTGACTATAAAAAGCGCATGTATACGAAGCCGTGGCCGATGGAAGTGAATTCAAGGCGGTCCCTGTTTCGATGGGGAAGTGCGCACACAAAGAGTAGTAGCTGCACCGCGTACCAAACGAGCGCACACAAGCAGTTCCGCATTAATTAATCGCATATGTGACAAACAGATCGATGGCAGTGAATGTGCGCAGCGAATGCCAAATTCGAACGTAGAGCAAAAACAAACCAACCTTGCGTAGCCACAGTTTTATTCAGGCCTAATTTCGAAATGATGTAGAGTGGAACGTCGGCAGAGACGACTTCACCGCGTTCATGGCCGGAGTTGGGGATGACATGTTTTCGGGCTTCATCCTCCGCCACTTCGAGCATCTGGTAGAATTCACGGGGATCGAATTCCAAGCACTCCAGAAGCCGAGCTGGACGCGCGATGATCAGCAGTAAACGGCGTATGAGACCGACGACGATGGGAATGGAGTCTGGTTCCCGGACACGTGTCTGAAGCAAATTATAAAGAGAAACACGGAGAATAGTGGCATATTCAATTGGCATTGGTCTATCTCAAGTCCCATGGTTGATCGCTGCAAAGGTCGGGGCTGAATCGACAAGTCACAAGAGGGACTTAGGTGGTAGGGTATCACCCGCAGTACACTGTACCTGCGTAATGATGCTTTGTTGCCATGCAACCACAAGCCGCTTGTATGCAGGTTGGAATACTGCAGTGACGTTTACATACTGTAGGAGCGGGGCGTGGAACAAGGGACACATAGAGGTTACAAGCCAAACGTGTGAACTACAACGCAACGAATCATCAACTGGGACCCCTAGCATGTAGAGATTACCTGGTAAATCATTTGCCTTTATGTCACAGAGTCGTGAAAGGAACTAGAACGGAAAACAGACGGTCATCACCTTACCAGGTCCTACCTGAAGCATAGTTCAGAAAGATGAAACTTCTCTAACAAGAGGATGTTGTTCATGTGGGACATAGGAATACGGAATTTGGGCCACGAAACCATGCAATGCCACTACGCCTAATTAATTTCTACCAGATAGGACGCTTGAGTTCAGCACAGCATCTCAGCCGACCTGCGAGAACTACGCAAAAATGGTTAAATAGAGTGATGGGGAGGGAGGCAACAGGGTGAATAAGAAATAAGCGGGACTATGGTTTTCGACAGGAGAAAAAGAGGACAGAAGACGACTCACATCCTCCACAAGTTTGTTCAAGTTTTCGGTCATTTCGTAGAAGTAACGACATGTGACCAGTCGCGATAGAGCTTTTTGCAAACAATCCTTGGCGTGTTGGATTACCTGGCGGTGTACAAACCGAGCCACAGCAGACCAAGAGACGGTGTCCATGTGGTCCAATTCCTCCACAAGGCGCTGCAGTCGACCCTGCATTTGGGCTGAGGCCTAGCAAGGAGAATACTACGTCAAGCGCATGTAAAAACCTAATGAAAACTTAATCGGAGGAAAAAGAGCAAAGTGATTTAAGTGTGATTTCCTAAACTACGATATGCAGTTCAACAGTGAAAATACACAATGTGGGTATACTGCTCAACGCACGCGAAATCATGTTGTTATGGGACATGACCGAACCCAAACCAGTCGCCGGGTTAGGTGATGAGTGTGTGTGTGTGTGCAGAAAAGTACAGCCCAAACACTAGAAGGCATGTGAACCGGCGAGAGTTTCACAACAAGTACAACGCAGGAGCCTTACGTATGTCGACTTTTGATTCCCTGATGAGCAGGACCTCGAAAACCACAGCAGAACGTCGATCGCAACAGTAGTGTAATCTGGAGATAAGTTAGACATAACAACAGTGATGCCTCTCCAGTTAAGCGTTGAAAAGTGCCGCGGGATGGGAATATCTATCGGTCAGCCCGCTAGGTGATGTCAGCAGAAAAGTGGAATGGAGTCGGCAGACAGTAATGCCTGTTGGCAACCTAGTTTTTCGGTCGATTCCCGCGGCGCTCCCATTCTTAGATGCAGCGATGTGGAAGCAGACCATATATGGCCGACCGAGTCACGAAATGGAACAGCAGGTGACATTGTAGACCAGGCTTAGACCTCAACAAAGCCGCATGGAAACTGGAAAAAGGCTGATGTTAGAGCGCACCTCCAAAAATGAGCGAGGCACCTGGATAGACAAATATGAGCTGGAATCTTGTGTGACCCGAGGGAGATGCGCACCGTCGGGGGTCCTGACAGGGTTAAATAGCTATGAGAGACTTTTCTGGACGTATAAGGCCCTGTGATTAAAACCGGTGACGACAGGTCAAAGGTGACCCGATAATTGAAGTCTAGTGCATCTCCAGTTGCAATTGCGCGTATAGCTAAGATGAAGGAATTATAAACTGGAGAAAATGTAGAAATGTAGAGACAGCTAAGCACAAATTGTGAAGTCGTCAATGGGACACACCGGACCAGGTTATCAGCCATATGCGAAAATGTTGCCAGCAGACAACGCTACTGAAAAGTGGCATTCGGACCAAAGTACGAAGTTCAAGGGGGTTGTGAGTGAACCAATTGTGAAACTATCATCTATTCATTGAGTATTGTGCCACACCTTTCAATCTATAAGTATACGTGGCAGTCGATATAGCCGTTAAATCAACAAGGGAAGCACGCATCGAAGCTGTCGGAAGGTGCGAATTAAGGTGGTTAAACTTGCTGATGTGCACAGATTTTTTCAGATGCAAACATTCGCCACCAAAAGACACCACTACTGACGCGAAATGCCTATCGTGCTCTATCAAGGCTTCAGAGAGTCAGTTGTCAAGATCGATTGAGAACCAAACCGTGTGCAAATAGACGGGGCGCGTCTCACGGTTTTAGAGTGGAGAATTAGCTGTAGAATCAAAGAAATAGATAGTCAAGATATTGACTCAGCCCAGGAGGTGATGGAAGCGGCGAAAATCTACGGGAACGTCAGGGTGTTGGAAACATGTGACGAGACGAAACCAGAGAAACACCTACCAACAATGCAACTGCCACGCAGACCCAAAGTGGTGAAAAGCCTACGGTCAACCCCACAGCTATAGAATAATTATCGTGATTCAAAAATGTGAAGTAAGCAATCTGTTCGAGGCTGAGAGATTATCAAGATCCCAACAGACCACAAAGACAAATGAATCAGAGGATCATGTGAATTAAGTTCTGGTGACTGCACTGTAAATTTGAATCGGTACCGTACAATAACACGGAAAGAATAAAGGTACACCAAGAATTGGAAGCTGAGTGACAAGAAAGATTGCGGGTGAACACAAGCAGACAAGGCTGTAGCTAGATATAACACGAACGCTGAGAGTAGAACTTAGTACGGCACAAAAGAGACAATTAACGACCAGGCAGCTAGAGTAGATGCGGAACGAACAAGGTTAGTGCGGCAGCATTCATTAGCTTGAAACAGACACGATATGCAAAAAAGAACTTCGCAAGCGCAATGGTCGCATCAACACCAATGCGGATAAAAACGAGTTACCCGGACACGTGGAGTATGGTATGAACGGAACAGAACCAAGGAGAAGTTGTGGGGTTTCGAATACCAAGAACAACAAGTAGAGCTGCCAAATTTACATTTCCAAGGAAAGCAACTACAGTCCTATGTGTGTAGATCTGTTAACAACCACCGCAAACAGGGAATTTATCACAACACGTTGAAAAAATTCAATTGCGTACTGATGAGCTAAGTGTGGGAGCAAAACATGCCGGAAGTGTCGCGTTAAGATATGGCTTACCTTGGGGAACCGTTCACGATACACATCATTTAGTAATAATATGTCCTGGTCACCACCGGCAGAGGAACGCAAAGGGCTGTATGAGGGGGGGGGGAACAGGAGTGAAACAAGATGAGGGAGAAACGGGGATCCATTATCCAATAAGAGAAACAAAGCAACTGGTTAGCGGCGGAACAACGAAGCAGCTGTGTTGCGTTCAGGTTATGTTACACTTAACATGGAACAGAGGATAAAAGTAAAACACATGAACAACTAAGCCCAATAAATTCCGGTGCACAAAGACCACCTCTTCCAGTGTGATCACGGAAGGGAACCAGTGGCAATCTCCTTGTTTGGCGTACCAGTAGATAGTCCTACCATGTTCATGTACAGTGCATTAGAGTGAAACCGACAAAAACTGGAAAAAGCAACGATAGACAGCTTTATTTCTTGTAGGAGTCATCTGCTAAGTACATTCAGCGGATTGCGGAAGAATTCGAAATATATCGGATGAAACTAATGTCAGTCGGGATGCGGACAATATCTGCAGCCGATGGTCCACTGAGAAAGCACTAAACCACCATGCGGTGAGCATACGAAGCAGTGCACAATGTGAGACGATAGTGACCTAACGAGCCACGGCCAGAGCCTGATCGAAGATGGAACAATCTGATACGCCGCAAGCTGTGACCGCGACCATTGGATGCACGTGGGTGAGACACTTGCAAGTTACGAAGGCAAAAGTAGGCCCTCAGACACGATGACAATAAGGCTGAACTAAGCTTGTGTGCGCCGCAGCCTTGTGTGAAGTCCGCGATAGTTGATTCCGGTGACTGGCCACCCGCGCTTAGGGTAACAATACTAGGTTAGGGGGCACTGTGGACGCAATTGTGAAGAAGAGCCATTAAGCGGTACAAGGCGTCCAGTGGGGATTTGTCAAGTGGAAACCGCTTGCAAACTTCTGTTGTCTAAGTGTATGTTCCACACGAAGACCGACATACAAGTCGCAGAGTGTGGTTCACTGTTTTAAATGTATTGCTGTGCCCATAATTCTATCCATTTCAGGTCGGTAGCCTTAAGGATCGCAAGCCTGTCTTGTAATCCAGGGCGCGGGGCAGAGCCTGCGTAGGGACCAGGCAACGCACCCAGTAACGTTAGCCCACGTACGACCGGTAGTGGTTGCGCGGCAGCGAAGCGTCGGTACTGCGTATCGGCGTACTGTTGACGCCTTTTCTAGTTTTATCCATTCGTAGCACCACCGTTCACCTACCGGTGGCTGTATGGCGTCAAAGCAACAATGCAAGATGCTAACGTGTTGTTGGTACTGGTATTTGTGGTCGCCAGTCTGCAACAGCGACTTGCTATCACACGTACGCAGTACCGACGCTTCGCTGCCGCGTAACCACTACCGGCCGAACGTGGGCTAAGGTTACTGCGAATTTTGCCCAGTCCCTACGCAGGCTCGAACCCGCACCCACGGAGTACAAGACAGGCTTGTGATCCTTAAGGCTACGGACCGTTGCATGGTTGTGGAATGATGAGGAGTTGGGGCAACAAAGGATAAGCTCACCTTAGACTATGTGAACGTGTACGCATCGCACAAGTGAGATTAATGGGTGAAAATGGGCCGACTCCGGGGCGATCGAACGGGGGCTTATGTGGAGTGTACGAAGAAAACGATTGAGATGCGCGTGCGCTAGAAGAACTACTGCCATCCAAGTTGAGAAACAAAGGCGACGGCATACGACCAACCGGGGAACGGTGTCCGCTATCGGGCAACAGTGTGCTATTCGTTGTTGTCCTCAGAAATGACCCATTGGAGTGATCAGAACCCGATTAGGGCAATGAAGAGGGAGGAGAATGTGTGACATCCGAAGCAGGCACCTCCTGTCTATCCACAAACGACTTGAATGAGGAACATCTGCTGATCTTGTTCATTGAATCCATGCCGACTGGTGACGAGTTGGCGTCGGACGACCGGGAAACAATGGGAGAGTTGGTAGCGCATGGTGGCACGGAGGCGGTGGTGGTGGTGGAACTCATAGTGGTCGGATGAAACATGTTCTCCTTCGACGAACAACGACTTCGCTGTGGGAAAAATGTAAAATGGAATGGTCAAACTTTAATTTCGACTGCTAAGAAACTGATTGGGTGGGTGGGTAATTCACGCAACATGATTTCTTTTCCTCACTTTAATAAAACTCGATATACAGACACGTTCTCCTCGTGGTTAAACATTTGGAGATGTTTGTCATCGGGTCAGTGAAAATACTCATCGGTTGGTCGTATGCGCGAACGCGGACAGTACTGACGAGAGGGAAATATGATCAATGCGAAGGATGGACGCTTACCAAATGAGTAAGAATGATAACGAACCCAAACAGTAAAGTCATGCACACACACACAAACACATCAGGGGGGGGTATCCGGCTCCGAATTCGTCACAGGAGCAAACCCATCTTGTAGATGGCGTCCACCCTTTGCATCTCCATCTCTGCTATTCCACGCAAACCAGTGAGAGATGCACATACACGGATCAGCCAAAAAGTGCCAACTGGCTCAACAATTTCAAAGAAGAAAGCCGTGAGGGAGGAAAATCAAACGCCTCCGACCAGTGCACCAGCCTGGTATGTCTCCACAACAGGCTACACACGCTGGGCACTAAACACATTGACGTATAAGGCTAAAATGCTCGGGGCTGACACGTGACGCGCGCGTGTGTGTGCGAGTAGGAAAAGAGAAAACTGGATCAGACATTTTACTAATTTGAAGGGGGCGTGGGAGCTTAGCCATAAAACGCGCAGAGACAAGCTGCTCATGGAGTGGCGGTAGTGGCAAGACAACAGTCAACGTAAGGAGAATTTCACAGCATGAGCTGTCGACGACTGGCCAGAGCGAACTGACAGCGAGACGCATCGATTGAATATTGAATAGACACGGTTGGAAATAGAGCAAACACACGAGGTGGCCTGCAAACCCGGTATGAGACTAGGACACATCCAGATGAATCTAGGGATGGAAAGCGTTGTTATACAGGGAAATACAGTCAACTTACAGACATATTGCTGCCGCTTCCGGGTGTATTGGTGCCATAACCCGAAGATGGAAGGGAGGCCAAAGACCAACGTCTATGTTCCATCAAACTAGACGGGGAGCAGCAGAAGAAAGCAAACCATTACTAGTGAAGAAGATGATAAGCACTCATTGAGAGTCCAAGGGAGGTATTGCATTGACCGTAAGTATTCCAAGGGAACGTAACACAAAAGAGGAAAAAGCTGAGGGAAAATTATTTCCATTCTTTGGATAAAATGTATGAAGAGGGGAAATAAAACCAGACACCATTAGAGGACGTGCATGCAAGCAACCTTGGAGTATACGTCTGCATACATCCCGGGTGCGTGACTGAATGCCACAATCAAGTCAAGATGTCAGAACAGACAGTGAAACATCCACAACAGAGCAAGTATGTGACCTCGGTGGGAGAAACAGAGGTAAGAGAATTGGGGCGGGCGGCGAAACAAGGAGCTGCGGCCATGTCAGACGGAAGACGAGACACTAGAATTGGCATGAGACAGTCAACACTTTTGGGGGGAGGAATGTCCGCCAGAGGAAAATGGAGGGACCTTAGTACAATCAGTCGGTCCGTCGGATGCGGCGAAACCAGTGCGCAAATGATGCCACTGACGGTTGCATAAATCCCACCAAAGAAAGTCACTCGCAGATAAATCGCTGAGACAGCTGTCAAATATCATAATTTGTTATACTTGTCGCTGCTGAGTAGTTTTGAGCACCTACAAAGGCTTCTCCTAAGATGATCATGAATGATCCACTGTCAAGTGACTATTATTTGTTCCAAACACATGCTTGGACCGCACACATACGTGAAACATGGTAAAATCAGAGTATAGTTTGTGGTCTAATATCGTAGGTTAGTTCAGTACTCCTTGGCGCATTGTGCATTGCCCACTGTTGGATATAACACTCGCGTATTTGTGTCAGCATCCTGCAGGATGGTTTCAAAGTGGTAAAGCCATCCGTGACTTAGTAGTTTTCAGACTCCGCGGGGTCGATCTTAGTGTCCATAAATGTTTTAAAACCTGGCCACCTCAGGTTCTTAAAGTACCGAGTGACCCTTTTCATGTCCTATGCAACCACTTCTAAAACAGATTAAATTCCAGAATGCCATATTTTCGAGCGCCATCGCGCCCTAGTACCGTCTAATCATGCATAACAGGCTCAGAGACCAGCACAGTAAGGCAGTTTCTACGAGGCACGATTGATTAATGGAGCAGGATTGCTCAAAAAGCGCGTAGCTTTTAATAATAATAATAATAATAATAATAATAAGCATAATCAGAATAAGGTATATGCTCGGGTTTACGAGGCATGCCCTTTTCGGCATGATGATATTTTTACAATTGTTTCGTATCATATTAACAGCATATTCCAAATGTCAGGCAGAAGTAAGCTTCGTGTTTTCGTCATCCACAATTCACGGAAAACTTGTTTCACTGCGTCCGCGGTGACGGCGTGATTTAATCTACCCATTTGAGTGCATAAAGCTTAAAAAGGCTTTAATTTCATGTCAAGATTGCTACACTTAGAGATATTCCACAGCGACAGTGATAGAGCGAGGGAAGTAAGCTTTGTGATGAGAGAAACATGCGTTGATAGAAGTAGAAATTCAAGTGGGAAAAAACAGGGGAACTTTCGGAGGAGGTGATGTTTTACTTGTTCAGCCCACCGAACTGTGCGGGATCAGAAAATTTCAAGTGGCATTTGGTGTTACAAATGGGTGCACGAAGATCGCGATACACTCGAACGTGTGGGATGCCACAGGCACATCAACCAGTCACATTCGAGAGTATGCCGAGTGGAGGGCAGGTGAACTGGCACCGAAGGCGAAATTCACCGACGTGCCAAATGTATCAAAAACCTGCCGGGGGTGCACTAGTGATTTTGAGAAAGAGGGGCCTGAGAGCAAGAACGAAGCAGAATGCCACTAGTCGATCGGGTGACTACACGATGTGGGGTGGAGGAAGGCGCAGAAGAGTCATGCGAACGCATCAGTAGTCTGAACTAAAGCACAAGAATAGATGGTTGCTTCGATCATCGAAATTGAGCAGACAGGCTTTCGATCAGGATGAGGGTGTGCTAGCCGTCATAAATCCACATTCTAAGGAGTGACTGAGAGTGCCACACAGTGTTGAATTGCTCGACTTGAAGAGTGTATCTGATTCGCATTAATGGACACATCTGGCAAAGCGAAGATGGGCCGATAAGGCTTGTACGTCTATTTCACGGCACACATACAAGCAGTCAGTTCCGGTGGCATTATCAAGTGTCACGCACACAACTATTTTGAGAAGACAACTGGTGCCAGCCAAGATCGCCGTTTCGTTCATATGAGCATGATGCTGATGTCACGCAGAATTGCTAGTACGTATGTGAAGAAGTCAACGAAGTGGAGGGGGAATTTGACCAAACTGTTCGAAATAAAGTGATAGCTCAGTATAAGGGCTCATTCTGAAGCATTCGATGCGTGAATGCATAGCGACACACAATGATCATCAGGATCGCATGTGGGGAAGATGCCTTTGTCAGTCGCTACCTGTCTGCCACACGGCACTGCAGGGTCGGTTTCGCATTTGCAGTGTGCTATCGATGGAAAACATTCAGGGGACATTCGCAGAGCGTGTAGCTGATCAGATTACCCGTTCACGTGACTATGGTGGAACCGAGAACGATGGAAAGGCGACAGCGGAAAACCGCAAAGCATCCCAAAATTAAAAAAATGTAGCCAATGTGATGCGGTGTTCTCCGAATTTAGGGTTGATTAATTCCCAGACACAAAGATCACGTGTGCAGCGAATGGAAAAATATTCCGCTTGGGAAACCAATACAGGTAGGGTGAAACCGGCCAAAAGACGTTAGATTAGATAATGTACAGAACGCAAAATCGTAGTGAACGGGGTAGCTGCAGAGCGTTGCAAACCATCTTCTGTGAGAATGGCATGAGCATGGATACAATGTGCACTGGAAGAGAAGGATGCAGAGATGAGCTACGCGTTAGAGCCCGTTGGGCCGTTTTGAGTATTGGGGAGAGGTATGAATGAACCGCCAAGCATATAGGCCAAGACCCTGTGGTATGCGGTCGACAAGCACCGTTAGAATGTTGGCATGCGGTACTATGGCATCGCACAAGACGGTTCCGTCCGACTCATCTCAGCGACAAGGCAACTATGGGCATGGCGAACCGAGTCATTTTGACTAGTGCAATCGTGATGAAAAAGTGAAAAATTAGATGAAAATTAAGCAATAAGGATGATAAAAGTCAGAATCCTTGATGGAGTAATAGAAAGGATGCAAGATAAGTATTGATCGCACAGTTGAGCAATGTTGGACGTGGTCATCAACTACTGTTGTGACCGACAGTAAGAAAACGACGCACAGTGCGGTGCGGGGTTTTTGGGTATGGAGTAAATGCGCCGGAACCTACGGAATACTGTCAGAAGTGCTGAAGTACGGCAGATTCGCAGTGCTACATGCGTTGCTTCAGCATTTTGTGGAATGCGTGTGGTCTGAAGAACAGGCGTCACCAGAGCTGCAGGATGCCCTTGCGCTAATACTGTACAAGTGCAAAGAGAATAAGCAATGTGCCACGACTTATCGCGATATCAACTTGCTTAGTTGCATCAGGAAGGTGATAGCGCGAATTCTACTCAACCGCCTTGTCGCTCAGGTCGTCGAATCGAACATGGCTGAAGAGCAATGCGGATTCCGTTCGGGCCGTTTCTCAATAGCTATAGTGTGCGCGGCTCAGCAGTTACAGCAGAAATGCCGAGAACGACGCCAGCCGTTGTATATTCAGTTTGTAGACTACATCAAGACATTTGATACAGTGAACTGCGAGGCATTGTGGCTGGTGTTGGGTGAGTTTGATTGCTCAGGTATGTTTATAGGTCTAATTGAATGCCTTCACAGTGGTATGTGGGAGAGGGTGCAGCTGTGCGAACAAACCTCGGATGACATTGGTGTTGTCTCTGGTGCAAAGCAAGACTGGGTCTTAGCCTCTGCCCTGTTTGATATTTACCTAAACGCTATGATGTTTTGTGCCTTTGATTGTTGTGATTACGGCGTCCGTCTCGGGCACCGTATTGAAAGCGGACTGCTGAATATCAATCGGGCTGGTGTCCAAAAGACAATGAACACGTTTGGTTGGATACAATCGCTGACATGGCTAGAAGCCGGCCCCAATGAGGTTTGGGCTGTGTTTGTTTCCATCCCCCTATCCTTTAGACATTCCCTCAATCACGATCTCATAGCAAATTAATAATGTGATATTTAGCATGCTATTATTTGATATATCTGAATTTTTTAGTATCGTATCTTTCTGTATTGCGGCACATTAGCGGGGGCGTGTTTTTCACCCACAGATGATGAGGATGATGCTGAACATCCATCACTTCGGGGCGAGAACCGTAGTGTGTGAGACAACCATCTGTAGGTTGATGTTTGCCGACGTCAGCGCGTTGTTTGCACATAGCGCGGAAGAGTTGCAGCGCATGACTACGGCTCTGAATTCGACGTCGGCCACCTTCGGGCTCTCCATAAACAGAATAATGACTATGTATCTTTTTCAGCCATCACCGAGAATGGAATACGTGGGCCACCGCAAATCGAGACTGGTGATGAAGTACTGGAGGCACCACCAAAATTTCGCTACCTAGGGGGAGAATACTGTCAACGGAGAGCAGATAACCAACGAGTTGCGCACCCAAGTATCGAAGGCGATTGCAGCATATGGTCAGATGGAGCGTTGAGTGTGGCGTAAGCATTATTTGAGTTTTGAAACCAAGCTGACAGCTTACAAATCAATGGTGCTGTCTGTCCTCTCTTCTGACAGCGAAACACGGACGCTATACAAGGACACTAAATAGCTGAAGCGCCTTCATCAACAATGCATGCGTCGTATTCTACACATCCGTTGATCAGTAGAGTTCCTGACACAGAAGTGTTCCACTACAGTGGCATGTATGGAGTGGAGTGCAGGGCATCTGAGGTGGCTCGAAAGTGTACGCCGTAAAGATGCGACGAGGATACCGAAGCGCCTGCCATGTGGCCAACTGAGTGCAGGAAAACGGAACGTGGAAAAACAGAAGCTGCATTACCAGGACATAAGCAATATGAGTTTATCACGAACTGATGTTGATTTTAGGTGTTTAGAAGCAATGGAAATGAATCGCAGCCAATAGTGTGCACACATCAAGATAACGGTTCCCATTGTGCGTCGGAGAGTGCTGATGCATCATAAAGAAAAACGCCAGTTATGGAAGCGGCGGGTGCCGATGGAGCCTATCCCATCGACGTCAAGCCGATGGTGCCGTAGCACATGCAGTCCCGTGCCCCTCAGTCAAACCGGTTTGGTCAACCATCAAGGTGGTTACGAAATGAGTGTTAGTGCTTGGTAAGCACGTTGCTTCCAATCCGAAGTCAATAATGCGGCAGATGTGGCACGTCTGCTACATCATCTCTGCAGTTAGTCTGTACGTGCGTTTGTATGTCTGTTTTCTTACATTTTAGATGTGTGCTGATTGACATGTTGGTCTGGCTGCGGTTGGTGCAAGTGTTGACAAGGTGCCTAACTGTGGAAAATTGCCACATCGATAACTGACTCCAGGAGACCATTGATCGTTACGGGGGGAAACGGGTTGCACGGTCATCGGTGACGGTGACGTTCAGAGAGTGATTCCATCCAGTATGGAACGGGCAACGGTTCAGTTACTGTCTTGTGTACGTCTGGTACGCATGATTCCCAAATTAGACAGACAGAAATGCTTCTGCTCTGGTCGTTGAAGGAGTGTGGGCCGGCTCAGTTGATGAAACGTGGCTCCCATCCACATGCCTTCCGGTCTTATTCCCTCGGGTTTACACTGGTCTTGGGATGTGTGGTTGGAGCTGCGGGTAGTGCGGCGCAAACCGCCCATGGTCTCTTTGTAGGCGCAAGCGTCCTGTGGCTGTCCTATGGAAACCACAGTGACAGGCAAATCCGGAACCGGATGCAGAGAACCATATGCAAAGAAGAGTAATTTATCTTGAACTACATGTACTGTACGAACAGTAGGGCAACCCGAACCAAAATAAATGAAAGCATCATTGAGAAAGATTCATTGTAGCATATACACGTCTTCTCTTTGTACGGCACACAAAGTGAAAGAGGGTGACAAAAGTTGAGGTTGCTTGGGGTGAAAGCTAATCAATTACCGATCTTGATGACAATCACCTGCAATGACAATTAGAGCAATTCAAGGGAGAGGTGAACAACTCACAGTTTGTTATCCAGACGAAGACGCAGACCCACATGACGCTTCTCTGCGAAGGTGGCCTCACGATGAGTTTCTCTGGCCGCCTCATCTGATTCAAGGGGAATAAGACATCGATTCAAGTGAAGAGCTGCAGTGAGTAGGGGTTAAGATAAAGACGAGGATAACACAGTTGTAGATCAGTGATAATTATTGACGCTTTATTGACCTGCAATACCCGTCGGTCGTACGATGAATGGGAGAATGCTCGAGAGGGCGCGAACTTGTGAGGCGGGAGTTTAAGGTCAAACACCTGAATCACTACAAGAAGTATCTGCTTATGCAAAACCGAAACGCAGAGTTTATTACTGAGATCCGTAGAGTGAATCAACATGCAAGACCAAAGCCTAAGGCAATAAGCCGTGTTCCAATCAGAAGTCTCTAAATGGAACCGTTTGGAAGCGCCATGCAGTGGCCAAAAAGCTCGGAGTGTGGAAGGGCAAACAATAGCATCTTTTCAATAATCCACCTTCGCAAATGGACGACGAGTCGGTTGGTATGAACGACGACGAGGAATAAAAAGCACGAGAAAGGCGACGATCGAGAGTACAAAGAGAGTGTGAAACGTACCCGGGTGTTGTAGTGGTCGTCCAATGAACACACTGGAGTATAGTGCACAGTCAAGTAGAAAAGACGACGGGGACATGTGGCGGATCACGGGTGCACACGAAAAGGTAGAAAGGAAACAGGCTATTGCGTTAAAGAGCCATGATAACCGGTATCGCTCTACAATACAAGTGGTTAAAAAACGAAAGCCCACAAACACCACAAATAGCCCAGTGGATGACATGGAATCATGAGGGGTTCAAGTAGCCTATGGCAGCACGATGGACTTGATTAACAAGCGATGAGTGAATGGGGGTCGTTAACCATCTCTTTAGCTGTTTGATGGAGACACACAAATGAGCGACGATTATGGCGACCCCAGATTTTTCAGCATTAAGACGAAATCTCTTGCCGACGCTTGGTTACCACGTGATCAGTGGAGGTCGTGTGCAAACCAGGAACAATGGAACGCCGACCGCATCTACACAGACTCGAGCCTGTCGTCATGTAGTTCTGAAAATACATTAGACAGAAGCAGACATACTTATTAAGCATGAAGGTGAGAACAGAGCATACCGACTTGCAGCACGGAGCTGGAACATCACGCGACCTGAAAGTTCGTGTGTTTAATGTGATGGCGAAACCATTCGCCCAGGGGACCTGGTTCCTTCATAATGAGAACCTGGGTGCGTTATGAGACTATCCTGTCCTCGATGACCAATGGGGCAATTGCTGCATGTAATCTCGAAGTCTAAATCGAAGCGATGAAGTGTACGAACGAGGAGAGGTCGCTGCGGATTCGTGTAAGCGGACAGATGAGACCGATTGGATTTCGGTAAAAAAAAATAAAATAATGTGTCAGCTGTACGCCGTAACGGCGCTTCGCTGCCGTGCGACCACCACCAGTCGCGCGCGGGCCGAATATACCGCGAGGACGCCCACCCCTACGCGGAGTCGAACCGGTGACCTTGTGGTTGCAAAGCAAACGTGCAGACCACTCGGCCACCGGCCGACTGGATTTCGGTAGATTGAGTCTATGTTGTGCAAGTGCTCCGGTTACCGCTTTTGGCTCAAATACAGTGTAAAGGATTTTGAATGACATGTGTTCAATTCATCCATTCGTTAACCATCGAGCGTGGAAGATTGCGGGCGAAGTTATCACCAACCCTTCACTGTGATTCGGAGCCGCCGTGATTTCTGATCCACATAATCGTATGCACACAAACCGTGTAGGTAAAGTTCACATCCTGCAGATTGCATTTCCCCCACGAACGTGTAATCACATGTGAGTATGTCCTACCTTGTGGTAACTCGTGGATACTCTCCCTCTATCTAAGCATACCAATGTCCCTTAGGTCAACACGTGCCCTCAGCACGGGTGTTTACATGCTTCTCCGCACTGGTTATGATCACGGTATACATTCTCTTTCGCACTCTCCTTGCACGCATCCGGTTCGTTAGTTACCAATCGCATCAACTTCACCCGTTCTATACTATCCCATGTCCTGTACTCTGTATCCCATTGACGCTCTGAAACCTATCCTGTTGCTCTTGAACTGAATGGCACTTCATTGAACCTGCGTTGAGTAAAAGCGTTAGTCTTAAGGTTTTTATTGTTATTGTTCCTCACTTCTTCGTAAATAGTACCACCATGCTGGGCCAGTCTTCTTGCTTATTTGGCCGGCAGGATACGCGTTAGCTCAAAGCTCTTCAAAGTGAATTGTTGCTTACATACAGCAAAGGCCAAAATGTCAGGATGTGTTAGCAGTTCGCTGCCCGTCGGATCATCATTCCTTAGAGAATCGAGCTAATGTCAGTTGACCAGCCAACGTGTGATACGGGGTGATAAGAATGCAAAAGACAAGCTCCGAATTAACAGAGCAGTAATTACGACATTTTCAAACTGTAAGTCCAGAAGCCGAAACACCAGTGCAACAAGACTAGTTATGGAACCATACAATGAAGGACGAGAAGAAGCTACTCCAAAGACGTTACTTTCTGCAGTCGGTGTTACCTTCTAAGGGTAGGTAGCTTCAACTGGAACAAGAGTACACCGATTCACTCAAAGTTATCTCAAGCTGCTCCATGAGTACACAAAAAAGAAGCCTGTAAACTGTTGACGACTGTGAAGGGATGTGGTGATTGGAAATGGGGCTACAGGAATGTGGGTATTGGCATGCGGAGTAAAGCGTTTTGTCTGGGTGAAGACGAGGGAGTGAGAATAGATAAATTGTCACAACGCGTACGCCTCTCGAATGTGTCCACGGAAAGCAAAAAAACAAAACAAGAATGAGCTGGGACAGATAGAACCTGATAAAACATTTCCGAACCTCAGTCACAGTGGAGTACTCGGTGATTGAATTACCATCGTTTAAATAAATGAATTCGCTATTAAAATGGAAAAATGCGTCAGCAGTACGCCGGCATATCGTGCCGACGGTTTGCTGCCACGAGACTGCCACTGGTCCTACGTGGTCTGAGTACACCGCGATGTCGCCGAATAAGATTCATATCGGTGATCTCCGGATTACAAGGAAGGCGTGTAATTCTTTTGGGAAATAGAATACGCCAAAACCCAAAGCAAGAGGGCTTCAAGCCCTCCAAGAGAGGAGTTGGACGTGACATCTCAGGGCTGAAAGCAGTATCGCAAGAGGAACACAACGTAAGATGACACAATGAGAGAAGTGATATGTTGTTCTTGTCCTACGGAGGGTACCAGACCAAGACAACAGTAGTTTTAATAAAAAACATCAATACCAGATAGACAACTCCTCAAAATGTACTGAAACATGTGTGAAAGAGTGTAATGTTACGATGCTTTGTTGAGGAGCTTCGGAATGTCTGTGAGGAATTGGTGCTTCCCGAGTCGGATTAGTATGTATGAGGTGTGGTTGTACGTTTGGAAGTTTAAAACCCCAAATTGCCCTTAACAATTTGAAAAGAGTGCAGTCTAGTCGGTGAATGAGTTTTGCATTGTCCCGCCAGCGGCAGTGACAACCCGAAGTACTGGAAAATCGGCAATGGATACAAACAAAGGAGGAGGTTACGTCTTCCTCTTAGATCAATATAAAGCAGAATGGCAGTTGCTTGCTTAACCGGCCTTATCGCCACAGCACCGAGGTAGTGGAAAAGACGGAAACTAACATAACGCAGTAGCGCTTTGAGCACCGAGTTGACCACTTTCGTTGACCTGAAGTCAATAAGCACCTACCGATCGAAGAAATTGGCGGTCTATGTGAAAAGGTTAATTAGGCACACAGACTCACGTCGAAACCACTAGGACATATTCCATCACTAGGCCATTCAGTATTCTGGAAGCCTTGATTCAAATAATGCGTCACTTCGAGGCGAAAGTGGCGCCGCAACTCAATGGTTAGTGGCATCCGGTTTCGGATTTGCCTGTCACTGTGGCTTCCATAGCACAGCCACAGGATGCCTGCGCCTACAGAGGGACAATGGGTGGCTTGCGCTGCACCACACACAGCTCCACCCACACATCCCATATCCAGTGTAAACCCGAAGGAATAAGACCGGGAGGCATGTGGATGGGAGCCGGGTTTCATCAACGGAGCCGGCCCACACTACTTCACAGGCAAACACAAGCACGCTGTATTTGGGAAATCAAGCGCACACAAGGCGGTGGCTGGACCGTAGTCCGCTCCACACTGAGTGCATGGAACCACTCTTCGAGCCTAGCACGGCCACAAGGACCGTGCACCCCGTCCCCTCCAGCGACGACCAACTGCCTCCTAGAGCCAGTATGGACGAGGTAGTGGGTAATAGACAGGTAGACACCTTGTCAACGTGCACATTAAGCGCAGCCCCACCTGGGATATAGAGCAACAGTCAAGCACTTGAAACCACAATATCAAATAAAATAAATCGAATAATGCATACAGATACGGTGACATAACTCTTCACCAAAAGGGTACATAAAATAAATTAGTGATGAACAAATCCACGATAAGTTCAAGACGTCAGAAAAGATATTTTAAGATAGTGCCACAAACGTGAAAATGTTATCGAAGTTAACTACAATTAGCTCAAGCGACGTGTGCAAGTTTATAGAAGATAGTTCAGGTAGACATTAATATGAGATCGAAAAGCATTAGGACTATATAGCAAACCCACCACCTGAAATAGAGACTTGGCCTGCAAGCACGCGGTTAGTAAATCGAATGCAGCGTACCTACAAACGCTGCGCCGGTTCTGCCTACGTTCTCTGCAGGACCCGTGGTCGCTTCGGTAGTGGTCCCGAGTGGCCTCGCTCATGGCTCACTAGGCCTGCCTGACTCAGGCACTCGCGACCGCATGTGTTACAGCACCATGCGCTCGATGCCGATGGAGTACAACCCATCGGCGTCTGTCGATTCCGCGATTATCGCTTTTTCTCTGCATGCACAAGGGCTTTGTCTTGCACCTCAGCAACTGCCTTCATGATTAGATCGCGCCATGCACGCCGATCAACCGCCTATGATTCCCATGACCTGCTATCAAGAGTAGAACGTGAGAGGTTCACTTTGAGCATGTCCTGGTAACGAAGCTTCGGTTTCCCCACATGCCGCTACGCCAAACTCAGTTGACCATATAATAGCTCCTTCGGTCTCTGCGCCGAATCTGTAAGCCACACATGACCGAGCCACCTAAGGTGTCTGAGGAAAAGTATGCAATCCACTGCAAACATTTCACTTCGGCGCAACACTTCCGTGTCCGCAACTCTGTCGTACCAACCAATGTGCAGAATCGGTCGGAGGCACTGTTGATGGAACCGCCAGAGATACCTCACGTTAGCGAACATATGTTTACGATAATTCTTCACCAGACTAGTACAATTATATACCAATTACATCGATCAGACAGACTACTGAGTCGTTAAAACGGGGTAAAATCAGTTTAAAAGAGGTCAACTATCGCCAATAACCAGGTCAATGTCGGAGTCTTCACACGATCCAACTGAGTAAAAATCACAACTCGATCGGGCCATGACAGCTGTAAGGCTCGAACGAATCGTTTCTGAGCGCACAACTTTGGTTCGTACAACCGGACTGCTATAGCCTCAGTGACTTCTAGTATCCGTCTGCGCATATACCTAGATCGGTTGTCCGGGGCCATGTAGATAATTTGGAATGCTTCGGCTGGCTCAGGGTTGTGGCCTATGTTGGCAAGATGGGCAGCTATGGCTGTTACATACCCCTCTGTATCCGGTCGCTAGCCGGATGGTGTTCTTTCATTCTCTCGGATAAACACCTAATTGTACGGCCAATGTATCCTGAACCACAGGAACAGGTAAATGAATAGATGCACATAGAGTTGTCGTGGACAGGTCTACTATCCTTGAGACTGAGCTGCACCATCGCTGTGCTGATAAAGTAGGTATGTAATTTTGCTGCTGGGAACGTCCGTCAAAAATCCTGTGATAGAAAGCGAGTAAGAATTTCAACCGCGATTTCCCCGCCGGGACACCGTCCGCGTTTCGCTGCAGCATAGAAGAACGGACAGCACCATGGATTTGTACGCCATCAGCTTCGTGTCAACGGTAAGCTGGTAGTTGTTCCACATTAGGTACTCAAATTTCCCGAATGCCGCCGTCGTCTTCGAGACGCGGATACGAAGGTCACTGTGTGTTTGCTGGTCAGTCGACACCACAGTCCTAACAGTCCAATACGTCATCACCAATGCTGATTCGCGGCAATATTGAAGATTGCACCTCCGGTGAAGGCTGAAAGAGACAGACAGTTTTGCTTGTGTCGCTGGTGAGCCTGAATCGGGCCGCTGTCGAAGCCAGAGCATTAGTCATATGCTGCAACTCATCCGCGCTGTGTGCAAACAACGCACAGTCGTCAGCAAACAGCAACATACGGATAGTTGTCTCACAGACTAGAGTTCTCGCACCGAAACGACGGATGTTCAGAAACCCACCAGCAATACGGTGCTCCACACGAACACCGTAAACACAATCCGGATCAAAAGCACATCATGGCATGAAGCTATTAAACAGGGCAGGAGCTAAGACTCTCGAACATACACACCTGCCTACTGTTCACCGAGTAAACAAGCTTTGTCATAATCTGTGACAGCGGCAGAGCCATCAGGGCCAAACAACACCGAGATGGACGTATTTATGTTGCCTCGCCTTTTAACATAAACGCTATCGGGGCTCCTATAGACCAGCACAACTTTAAGTTACACGGATGCAACACACAAAGAGACTGCGAGTGTGTCAACAAAATCGTCTGGTGAGCGGAAAGTGTACGTCTTAAAGACAGTTAGAGTGCCAGTTCCACCGCGACTAGTGCAGTGCATCGCTTGGGACGTTCACTCGTATTCCGGTTGAGCAAACTGCGCACGTTCCAGCCCCCAATGTTGAGCGTTCTGTGCGGAGGCATACGATTCCGGTGGCAGGTAACCATATGGGAGGTGACGACCTGGATTGGAGGAAGTAATGGGCTAGGTGAAACAGGGACGGGGGGAGTATGGTGCACGGGAAGAAGAAAGAAGGGAAGCACCAGAAGTAGCATGTTTTCGCTTATCCAACCCGCTGTGTGCAACAGATAAGGCGAGTCTTTTCTTAAGGCCATTGCGCGACGGCCGATGCGGTATGGATTTATTATCATTGGCGTAAATCATGATTGGAGGGGAGGTTGGATTAGGGTACTACCAGGGCGGCAACACCTGACAGGAAATGACTCGAGTTCTCAGCAAAAGCCTTCGACCAAGTATACACACGAAAGGAAACGGGCCGAGCACAATGAGACTGAACCGACTCATGCGAAATTGCGTCCTGCATCTTAACTAGAAGAAGGGTGTAAAATAAATCGCACCCAGCGGTCGCCACGAGACATCCAGGACATGAGCCCACGGCATAACATCAGCAGCAGCGGGTCGACGATCTGTCCGGATCTAGCCACCACAAGCTTTGGTAAACCATGGGCTCTCCCGCCTTATATATATATATATATATATATATATATATATATATATATATATATATATATATATATGCGTATATATGCATGCAGGGTGGAGCAGAAAATGTCATACCATTTGTTTTGTTTATCATACATATATTTATCAACAAAATATTATAAAATTGGTGCAAGATTAATTATATGGGAATGGGAATTTAGTTCAATGTAGTATGCATTCAATGTTAGCACCATTTTGGAAAGCTGGCGTCACATTTCGGCGGAAACGAATTCGCTTGCGGAGTTGCAGTGGAACATCCCAACTCAATACAGTTCTGGATACACACTTCGCCAACGTCAACAATGACATTTCACGTTGGCGACTCCTCTGTTGTTGCGGGCCACATGCTTTTGCAATATTACATGAGAACGTGAAAAACGATTGGCGCATTGATAGCTTTGTTAACACTTTTGATCCAAGTCTGATGGAGTTGCAGGGAATTTATTACTCCCTATCTCATCAATATAGTATTTAATATACAGTGTGTGCACGGCCCACAAGATCAACGAAAATTATCACCTGGCGCTAAAAGCGTCTCAGAATTATTAGAGTACTTCTGGCCTACATAATACGTGAACAAAGTTCAGAAGACGTGTTGTTTCTGCTGCTAATGCGTGATCTTAAGTCTCAGAAGCCTGCTTCGTAACCCTGAGGTCACTTGTTTGAGACCGCGCAGGGAATCGGGCGATCCTCGCAGTACTTTTAGTCCATGCGCGACAGGTGGTGGTTGCCCGGCAGCGAAGCGTCGGTAGTGCGTGCCGGCGTACTGCTGATGTCTTTCCTCGTAGTTGAGGTCCACAGGACTGGAAAGCAAGAGGTGATCCTACAGCAATGTTTAGAACTCTGTTCGGGGGAAGCATTCAGACGAACTAACCTACTTTACCGAATTTTATGCTCGATGTCTACAATTATGCATTTCTACATTCTAGCCCCACAATAATCTCATTCCGAACCTCCGTGCACTTTTCCACTGATTAAATCTCAATTTCTCGGAGCTATCCTACTCGGTTGATTGACGGGCATTAAGGTCACGAAAAAAATCGGAAAAAGCAGAACATATACCTAGAGTTGGGAAAACTCCAAACAGACAATTCAAAGTTCAACATGCTAGTTCACAAGTGTCAAAAGGGAAAAAGTATCGTCCGTACGATAAAAACTAGCCAGTTTTCTATCGATAGCGCCTCAATAAGTACACAGCGAGGGAAAACCCATGAAGATTAACGAGAAGGTTGAAAGAAAGTGGAGGAACGGAAGGACTTAGCGGATTAACTTCTGTTGCAAGAAAAGCAGCAGGCAGTTGGCCGCGTAGACTCTAACGCGACCTGAGGTGTTCGAGTACATGACGAGTCGAATGGTCACATACTTCAAGGGTAGAACAGAACAGAGCGACTGATTTCGGCGAATGAGATCTCGAAATCGAGAATCACAGTAATAGACAGCGTGTGGTGCGCGTGATGCTGCTCTAGCATCTGTCGAAGAGCTGTGTAGCCCCGTCATGACAAACAACCACATCTGTCCCTTTCGCTCATATGGGATTCTGGTTCAGCAGAAAAGCGCCGGATTAAAATGGAAATCTATCTGTTCTTATTGAAGATTGTCACTACGACAGACTATGCCCAATGGTCCTCGCTTTCCATAGCTGTTCAAGGAGAGAAGCGTCAATCGTTTGCGAAAGATCTCACAACCATGCTTGAAAAGCAAGCGTTATGAAACAATCAGGACAAGCTGAGTCAAAGCGATCCAAGGACGAAGTTGCGCTTCGAACGTTAGGTGAAGCGGAGCATTTGGTTTGAGCCTGACCGCGTCGCACTAAACTCGAGCATACTGTGTGAAGTTCACAAAATACAAAGGATGAAGCTGAGCTACAAGCGTCGTTGAAAGTGTGTAATGCATTGCTTGAATAAGCTCATTGTATTGTGCAAAAGTGATTCCCATATTATTTAAACCAACGAGAGAAAATGTAGTGTCTGGTCCATATGGTGATTCGGTATATGCAAGTTACAGACGCCAACAAAGTCTGGGAAATCTACCATAGGCCACGAATAAGTAGAAATAGATTGGGGCAGCCACCAGGTTAAAACGGGCAATGCCTGACTGGAAGGTCATTTTGAAGTACACATTGCGTGGATGGATTGCGACGCGCAATCTCAATGTGGACCGCGATTCACATTGAGGTGGAATTTGGTCATTTGATCACCAAGACCGCAGCAACTGAAGCAGACGGAGATTGGGTGTTGCCCGCCCGAAAACACTGCACGCCATGATGCGTTTCGATCGTAGTTGATTTCATCGCGACCCGGCGGTGGAGGGGTAACGGTCGCAACTAACATCCAAGTGGTCCCGGATTCAATGCGTGTTATCCCTAGCTGATGAAATCAGATAAGATCCAAACGCGTCATAGAGTGCAGTGCTTTCGGGTGCGCAACACCCAATTTCCCACTGTAGATAGGAATAGGTTGGAGCAGCCATGGAGGGACTAAAAAAAATAAATGTTGCTTACTCGAAACACGCCGCGTTGTGCATGTGTCCGCAAAGGTCGCGGACTGGATGTCCCCGGACGAATTCAAAGTGTCGAGACCAGATGCATCTGTTGGTGTATCGCCTGATGGGAATTGTTTGGATGTGGCGTTGGGCCGCATTGCATAAGATTCGCATGTGCCGGGCTCCGGTTTCGAATGACTCGCCGAGCACGTGTTTGTCAGGTGGTAGTAGGCAGAGTGAGTGCTGCAGACCGCAGGAGAAACAGGGCTATCCAAGCCAGGAGAATGCGCTGCACTGGAAGCACTGTGGTCGCCCATACAACCGCTGCTACCACCACTATCACTTCCCAAACCAGCTAGGAGAAGGGTACGCCCTTGCATTGGGAACCGAATGGATGGTCTGGTTCTCGCCACTGGGCTCGGAGTCATATGGGGAGAATTGGGAGCGGCAGCAGAAGAGGTGGAGATGTGAAGAGCTTGGTGCACTGCACAAGACCCGGACCGACACACAGGGATATCTTGATTCGACACGGAAGCGGCATGTGAGTATGGATCGGAGGAACCGGCTATCGTGGTCGGGATGTCAGCGTCAGGAAGTGGAGAGGAATCCAAGGGGACGCTACGTGTACAGGAACTGGCAATGGAATGCGGGGTGGAACTGACAGGGGCACCGGAATCGCGCTGTAAAAACAAGAAGGAATTTACTGAAGACACAGATCATCACAGGGCAATCCGGTTGTCGAATATAACACACGCAAAGTACTGCATACCCGCGCCAACCATATGCATCAAAATGTATAGGAAGCTCTACACAATCGTATTAGATGACAGGAGTGCGCGTTCAAAGCCGTTCGAACGGGAAAATGATAAAGTGGACACCACCTAGTAATAGGAGTGTGTGTGGGGGGGGGGGACACAAACAGCTTACGCGCTAGGAGCGTTAATCGATGGAACAATCGTGCTGAGCGAAGCTTGTAACCATTTGTGGTAGGAGAGAAATAGGCTAAGAAGAAAGTTCAAAGGAGTTAACAAGCTAGAAGCGCAAACTAAACATAGGCAATTTCAGTCCTATTTACTTAAGAAAAGCCGCAGTAATTACAGAAAAAGCAAGCAAACGTTTAAGTTCGCAGTCGAACGAATATAACTATGTACAAGTTCATACTCCCTCTCTCTCTCTCAAAAGACATGCTTCGCATAGTGGAGAATGAAACTTCATTTATTCATCAACTTCAAATTGCAACTGATGCACACAGGATGCTGCGACATCAAACGCAGCTAAGCAGGCACCACAGGATGGCAACCACGTAGCCTCGGATCGAGACTTATCGGTCACCAATAAAAGTTGATTCGCTAACCACAAAGTAGACGATGTGGGCACCGAAGCGACCTTAGGCGAAACACCGTTGATGGGTGGTAATATTTGAATGTCTGTTTAATACTTGGTCAATAAACAATTGGCAGAGCGCCACAATACGAGTAAAAACAACAAAAAGGAAGAGACGTTATGTGGATTCGCGTGTTGTGTGGACAGTGAGCTTCCCGATTGCCCATGCCGAGGAAAGGGTTGACTTAAAAGACCGCACCCTGAGCCTTTGCTCTTAATGACATGACCTGCAAGGCAGCGGGGCGATTCATGAAGATTTTTGACAACCAGGTGGCTCATTCGCATTTTGTGTTCGCTTGCAATCTACACAGAAGCCGGTGACCAGCAAGGTTGTTCATCTACCCTCCGATAGGTACTCACCTCTGGGAACAGAAGTGAGTGGTCAGTGACCATATAGTCGGTCACTTTGGCTTTGACATACCGGCATACGTGTGACCAGCCCAGAACTCTTCGCACTCTGAGACGCTGCTGCTAATTGTCAGCGACTGCTTATTTATCTCGTCTGCAAAGCAGCCGAGAGTTGTTCGAAGTTACTTCTACAACGAAGGCATTCCCCAATCCGCAACCTGGGGACGCGCCCGATAGCTCACAGCCCCGTCAGGGGGATGGTGGTAACAGGCCGAACGACGATGTGGTATTCATGCAGGTTTAGGCACAACGACAAAAGGTGATGCTCAGTGAGAGGGCAACAATGTGGTAGCTTAAACGAAGTGGGTAAAGATGAGCAAGAGAATGCTTAACGTGGCACTGTGAGGGTGTACTTGTTGAGGCTAGAGAAATCTGAGTTCTGATAGCAGCAGATGGAGAACCTGAGATATTCGAAGGTGACCAGATAAGATAAACGTTCAGACAGAGGGGCGCTTGGCGTCGATGCAATCCTAGAGCTCATTGATATGCCAATAAGCATTTTGTTTGCAAGACACATTGCGTAATCGTGCGATCACTGAGGTATCTGTGTCAGAATACAGAGATGAAATCTGCATTATGGAAGTCACAAATAGAACCATCGGACACGCAAGGAATGCGGCTGCTCGGGAGTAAACACACAAGTAGCGTATCCGTACATAAGACACTGTCATCAGTAGACGGCGGGGGGTCTCTGTCACCCAGCGGATGGACGTCTAGTCGGGTCAAAGTCGCCACCGATCCAGTAGAGTGGATGCGACTGAAGATATCACAGAGTACCGGTAGGGTGATTGTTTCGCCAGTCGGGATGGAAGGAATTCCCCATAATGGAACCAGTGTATCAATTCGAGTGAATGGATTTACGTGAGTATGGAGGCGAATTTAGTGTGCACCTACCAGTTAACGCGAAGGACTTTCGCTTCGATGGTATATATATATATATATATATATATATATATATATATATATATAAACGAATGAACTGCATCTGCGCGCCCAACACGGTGTAGGCTCCCGTAATGATATCGATGAGTGATTACGTCATTTGTAAGAAGATACCCGCTTATTTCTTGCGAGCACTAACTTCGGACACAACACCCGCCGGAGGGTGACTTAGCGCCCACCATCCTTGAACCAGCCTTGGACGCAAATCGACTGCATTGCGATAAGTTAGCGATGGAGAGGCTGCGTCCAGAAATGTCGCTCGATTTGGAGCAATTTTGTGGACACTGACCATGCACTTGTATGTGATGACATGCGGATGCATTTTGGCGGACACCCACGACGACGCTGTGAGCGCATTGACACCAACAAACTGACGAAATCAGCTGCTCTGAATACTTATCAAAGTACGTTGACATGCGAGTTGAGTAAATGCTCACCGGAGACAAGTGAAGTTCACTGGTCGCAAGTTCACCAGCATTTACCAGCAGCAGGCACATCCTCATGTGGTAAGTCTAATAGCCAACATAGACATCGGGTCCCTTCACGGTCTCCGGAACTTATCGATGCTCACCGGGTATATTCCGGCTGGAAGCGAACACAATGAAACTCGCAAAGAGCTCCGTGATAGCCTGAAGAGAGACCGCTAATCCTGGTGGTCTCTTCGTGAGTCAGAGATGGAAGTAGCCGTTTCTCTTGGTAACCATCAAAAGTTATTCCGTCTGATACGGGAAACGGGCAGCAGGAGACCTGAGGAGAGTGGAGAGCCTATCTACAACTTGTCAAAACACTTGGAGCATTGAACAGAACATTTTCAAAAGCAATTTAATTGGCCAGAATTGTTCGATTCCTCACCGGCCAGTGATCGCCCCACTCCCTGGGCTGTCCTTTGAGAAACAGCTTAATCACCCAGAATTACCAGCTTCTCCATCGGCTACCGATCACCCCTCTCCTTGAGCTGTTCCCCTGGATCCGCCTTCATACGCAGAAGTCAAACATGATACCAGACTGTTGAAAACAAGGTCACAAGAGCAGATAGAGTTCCTCCAGCTTCCTTCAGATTCGAAGGAGCTGATTTTGTAGATAATCTGCACAACTTACATGTGATGCTGTAGAAGTATGAAACTGTCTCAGCAGACTGGAGCCGTTCCGTTATAGTTCCTATTTTCAAAGTGGGCTCACGTTCCGAATGCGGTAATCCTAGAGCGATCAGCCTGATATTCGCCTCCGTCATTCTTCATAGATTTGCTGGCCCCGTGAAAGCCGGATTCGTGAAAAGTAGGCGGGTTTCATCGAAGTCGAGGCGGCATTTATCACATGTTCACAGTGCGTCACTGCCATATTTATCGGTGATCCACCATAGTCATGCTCCTCGACATCAAAGGTGCCTCCGATTCGGTTGATGGACGCGCTCTTTGGGACTGGCTACTCAGGAAAGATGTGCCCGAAAAACACGGAGACCTAATCAGAACACTTTACGAGCATAGTTCGGATAGAGTGAGGACTTACGGTAGGCTGTCACCGCCCTTCAATATCTCCAGTGAAGTGAGATCAGGGTGCCCGCTGTCACTATACCTTTTTAACTTCATCATCGATGAAGTCACGGAAATTGCGTTCATTACACATGACCTGCAAGGTGTGGAGTTGCTTCCTGGTAAACGAATTCTCGATTTGGAGTATGCCGACCGCATAGCCCTCATCTGTGACAGCTTCCAAACGTGGCAAGTAGCAGTGGACAAATTAGCACTGGATGTCAGTTGTTTAGAGCTATACTTTAAATTCCGAAAATGAAAAGTTCTATCCCAAGATTAGCAGGAACCCACCACTGCGCTGACCCTTGGTGGGGATTAGCTAGAAGTCGCAGAAGAATTTAAGTATCTAGGCAGTTATATTAGCGCCAATGGAACGGAAAATGAGATCACAAACCGCATAGCAAAAGCTCGAGGCGCTTTTGCCAACCTCAGTCAGCTGTGGCGCAGGCGCCACATCACTCTGGCTCTGAAACTCACAATTCACAATGCAACCGTCCGTTCAAACCTTCTATACAGTTGTGAAACCTGGCCCATCAAGTCGACAGACATAAGGAGACTAGTTACATCCGACCATCGCTGCACAACTCATGTCTGGTGGGAACACTGCGTGAACAATGAGTGTGTTTGGGGATGTGTATTCGGTGCAGGTAGAGCGAATGAATCGCGCAGCACGGTTATCTCACGCACCAGGCTCCGATAGCTAGGCCAGGTGTTGGGCATCTTAACCTACAGACGCCCGCGACGCGCGTTGTTTGTGCGCCCGGGGTTTGGATGGAAGAAGAGGAGGGGAGAACAAGAGATGACTTGGTCAAGAGGAATGAAGTCTCACACTTCGAACTTGACGTCGGTTGGTATTTCCAGACTGCCGGGCTGGGGACCGAAGGACGATAAACACGTCTGGTTGGATTCACTAGTTGATAACGAAAAAAGCCAATCTCAATGGCGTTTGTGTAGTGAGCTTCTTTGTCCCTCCCCATCCCGCTCATGTTCCCTATCCAACCACGATCTCTCTCTTTAAGCATACTGTTATCAAGCAGTTTGTTATCAGTTTCATGCATTCTATAATATTTATCATCCCGTTTGTTCGTATATTTGTCTGTTTGGATTGTGGCACAATAGTTGAAGTGTGCTTCTCACCTTCAGCTAATGTATACTAATGATGATGATGATGAAGTGGCTGTAGTTGACCTATCCCCTGGCGAACTGTGGTCAGCAATCGCACTTGGAGGATAAAGTGGTCAAGAGGATTCAACACCAGTGGCTGGGGCTTCAAACTTCGCAGTGCTCTTCGGTTCTATTTGCAAAATTACTTACACTCACGCTTTCGGCAATTTTTGCATTCGTTTTTTTACCCCATACATGCAATCTTCAAGGCCATGATGACCTATACTCGCGATATTTTAAAATCCCTATGTGTT